AGAATTGTGGATTTTCAATTTGTTGGCTTTTTTTCTTATTGTGATGACAGAAGTGATAACTTTGAAGATCTTCAACTATTAGTGCACAAACCAGGAGTCCCAATAATATTTTACATACATTATATCTTTTGACTACATAAAAGGGTGAGGTACACAGATCTTATTCTTGATATTTTATGCACAGGAAAACTGATGTGAAACTAACCTTGATCTTCTAGGGCTTGCTAAGGGTCTTCCAATACAGATTTTTTTGTGTTAGGCATTAATGCATATGAACAATTTGAAAGAAACATTTCAGTTTACGCAGCAGATCATCTATATTTGGTCTGGCTCTCTGGCATGATGTGAAAAGTACTGAATTGAAATATTCTGTTATAAATATCTTCAAGCCTGACTTAGCCTTCAACTCACTTTTAGATTTTGGGGGAATTCACCACAATGGAAACCTCAATCTCTCAATGAGAATCTGAAGCAAGAACAAACCACATGATCACTGAGGTCTCTTATAATCACAAAGATAAACAATTGTATTTAGGCCGTATATTTTTCAGAAGAGAGAGAATTTGCATATGTGTATATCTGTAAGTACGTATGTGCTGAACAGGGAACTTCAAATTTCTCTGAACTGCTTAATTAATCCCTTCCCTTACATGAAAGACCTTAGCTTCTTTGATTCTTTAAAGGACATGGTACTGTTCCTTTTCATCCGCTTATCATACATTCTAGTATGAATGTGAATAATGTTTAAAGCAGGACTTCCTTCCAGGGTACCTCCTCTTTGGAAAGTACTTACGTTTTCTCCTACTTGTAACTACACAACCATTACTAATCACTGGATTGTCTCAGTTAAATGCCAATTCCTCAGAGAGATCCTCTTTGAACTCTTAGGCTACGTGGGAACCCAGCACTTCCCCTTTCTGAACTTAGTTGTTCCTATCAGTGTTCCTTGCTATTGTGGAACCTACATGAAGAGTATCACCCTGCACAGGACACAGATGCACTCCTGGAGCTAACAGTCTAGAACTCTAGAACTCTATTCAACAGAACTCTCTGTGATGACTGAAATATTCTAAAATCTGCACATGTGGCATTGGAGCACTCGAAAAGTGTCCAGTACAAATGAACTACTGAATTTTTACTTGTCTTATAAATTTAATAGCCATATGCAGTCTGTGGCTACATATCAAAGAGTGAGGAACTAGATGGATGTTTCTTAAAATCTAAACTGTCAGGAATCTGCATTTTAACCCATTCCCCCTCAATGTAACTTGACAACTATTGATCTACAATGTAATTCTCATGGAAGAGATTGAAAAGAAAATGATTCTTGAGCCACACCCCTAAAGATTCTGGTGTGGGGTCCAGGTATCAGTATTTTAGAAACAAACCAATAAATACAACAAAAAACCTCCCACAGTGATTCTAATGTGCAGCCAAGTGCGAGAAGCCTATACCTGTTCTCGTGTGGCACGCAGTACACATTAGATATATATAAGGATACTTCTTCTGGTGTATTTATAGAGGTTTATTGATTACAAGTGAAATCTTGTGATGTCACCAGAGATAGTGACATTAGTGGCTCAGATGATTTCTTGATACTCTGAAAAAAAGGACAGCTTTAGATAATCTTTCACAACTGTGTGAAATTCCTTGGCCTTTGGTTTTATCCATAAATGGTACAGATAATACCTAGTTCTGTGATGTTTAGAGAGAGTGACATGCTAGAGTTCCCTGAAAAATCGCCTCTCCAAATAAACAAAAGCCTTTCTAATTTCCTGGTAGATTGACAAAGGGCCTGGGGACCCCTCCTCAGAGTCACAGGAGTCTCATGGCCACACCCTCCCGCCTGGAAGATGAGGGAAGGTGTTCCCCAGCCTACCACTCTCAGGCAAGGCTCTTGGAGCTCCTTTGATAGAGCTGCTTCTCCTCTTCCAGCCAGCGGGGTAGGTCGTTGTGCTGCAAAAGTAAGGGCTGGCCAGGCCTCCAGGAGAGCCCAGGGAACAAGGTCTCGGGGTCTTGGATGGAAGAGCCCTTCCCAGTCCGCCCCCCGCACACCGCCCGCCACAGGTACTTGTCCGGGAAGGAAGTAGAGGCTGAGGCTGGCTAGGTGCCTGGGTGGCAGAAGGAATCAGAACAGAGCAGGCTCCGCCCAGCAGCCCAATGGAGGCGGACTGTGTGAGCACAGTGAGTACAGCAATCCAAAGCAAACCCACGTAGCTTTGCAGGGGAGTGTCTCATGATTTTTCAAAACATGGTCATGATTACAAAGAAAAATCAAGGCTCAGAATAAGTACGTTAAAGCACGGCTAATTTTAGCTAAGGACACTGGCAGAGGTTGCCAGAAGATTTGAGGAAATTAACATGAAACTAAAACTGAAATCTTCTAAGTGGAACAAACAGTATTGATCAGAACACAGTAAATTTAAAAAAACAAAACAAAACATTGCATAGAAGTTTAAATGCCTAGGAGAAATTTAGAGGAAAAATATTACTAATAAAAATGTTTTCAGTATTAGAAAAAAATAATATAGTTTAATAAAATACCAGTGGGCGCTTAAAAGTAAACTTTAAAAACTACTTTAATCTAAAGTATATTAAATTAAAGTTTATTTACAAAATGATACTGCTTTTCTTTCCCACAAAAATTTCATTCATTTAGAAAGAGGTAGACTCCTCTTTAAAGACAGTATTACCAACCCACGCTGAGATTACATCACATGCTTTCTGAAACATACCAGAGCTGTATCTACAAACTTCATTTATCTGCAGGAAGTAACTTTAAGTGAAGTAACACTGATTAATGTTCATTCAGCAGTCAAAATGCAGTTCATGACATCTGATGAGCACTCAAATTACTCTTTCAATGGGGTGAAATCTGGGAGGTTCAGGGCAGGCAATATTCCTTAGAGACATCTTTTCACTAAAATGACTTGCTACTTTTGAAGATTTGACATTCTCCTATCAGTGTGCTTATGAAGGTGTTGTTTCATTTTGCTTATTCTTATTAAAATTTAAAAAATTGGTTTCTTAGCTATCACCTATTTATGTGTCTTTAGTCCCATGACATTCTTCCCAGGCACCTCCTATCCCTGTGACCTAGTGCTACTGCTATATCTTAGCAAAATTTCACCTACCTGCTTAGGTAAGCCATTGCAGGACTAAAACTTTCTTTTTGCCTAACTTGTTTTTATTGAAAGAGTGTTACCGTGTCAGTGTTGGAATACGCTTTAGGGTCTGTTCCTCAACTCCATTCCCATGGTGGATGCTGTCTTACCAGCAGTGTTTTGTTGCTGTTGTTTTGTGTGTGTGTGTGTGTGTGTGTGTGTGTGTGTGTGTGTGTGTGTGTGTTTAAGAAAGTACACACAATTTCAAGTAGATTTTTTCTTACTAAAATTAATTCAGCACTTTTGAAGTTATCCTTGTTTTCAGTCAGATTATCTATAATAATGCCAGAGAACATGTATTGTAAGTAGTTTTATAGTTAACATTCTCTGTAAGAATACATTAGGAAAAATACCTGGAAAAATGAAACACCTTTAAAATAAATGTTTATCTCTGTAAAATAACGAGGAAATGTGATTTCAGATGTACTTTATTCAATACATACCCCCAAGAACTTATAACTATGGCATTAAATTTGAATGGCAAATTTAAAAAAGACTGGATTATCCTCAATTCCATTTCAAACAGTTTACATGGTGAAGCGAACCAAAAAGTCAATGTGCAAAATATAAATTCAAGATGGTATTGTGGGAAGACACTGGTTTCCTCCTGTGATTAAATGACTCTTTTGTGTTATTTTTTTCTCATGTAACCTACACAACTAAAGAAGTGAATTATGTTTAGTAGCCTTTTCCAAATGTTATCTTATGAAAAATGTCTGATTCCTGGCTATTTGTAGTTTTAGGTCTTTACTTCACAGGGGAACCAGAGCTTTTTAGTAAATTTAGCAATGTTGTCCAATAGAACTTTCTGCAGTGAGGAGAATGTTCTATATCTGCACAGTCCGTTATAGTAGCTGCTGGCTATATGTGGCTGTTAAACACCTGATTGAGGAACTGAATTTTTTTCTTTTACTTAATTTTAATTAATTTAAATGAAATTTAGTTACCCATATGTGGCTAGTGGCTACCAGATTACATAGAGAGCTGACTAGCTAGCTGCTTCTCACTGTTCTGCTGGCTGGCTGACAATATTTAGCAATACACCACCGCTAAACTTCCACTTGAGGATATTTCTGAAGAGATTTTTCAAGAATCTAAATTTTGAAGAGATTTAGGAGATTCTTGAAGAGATCTTAGGAGATTCTTCTATTTGTTCAGTTTTTTTTAAAGTCATAAAGATAGAGGGTTTTGTGAACTATTTAAAATAATAAACACTGTGGTACTACTAATGAAGAAAAATACATTTACTTCTAGGAGATCCTGAGCATGTAGCACCAATTCAGCCTAAATGTTCCTAGAAGCTCATGTCAGAAATACAATAAAAGGTTTTGCTTGTTAAGGCACTGATAGTTCTGAAAGTTTTCACACATGATCTCTCATTTGATTATGACAAGCAACTGAGGTAAACAGAGGTCTAATCCACAAATCTTTTCATTATAGCTATCTACATACACAGAATTTTTTTTATACTATAAGATAACTGCATCTAGGCCTTAGAAGAAGTGAGGCTTTCCTGCTCTAAAGACAAAGTTTTTTTTGTAATTATAGACTAGAGATCACAAAGTTTTTTTGGTTAAAAAAAAAAGAAAGAAAGAAAAAGAATAAAATGAACATGGAATATGAACATAATACCATTCTGTAATGGACTAACACTTTATCCAGAAGACAGACTCTTAGCATACTTCTGAAAAACTCACTAAATATGTCATGATCACAGTATATTCAGAGATTCACAACTGCTTCATTTTTTCATTTTTATTTCTTTTATTTCAGAAACTCTTGAAAATTACATCAAGTCTAAAGTGAACCAGCCCACTCTCAGGCATAGCTGGAACCATGAGCAGCAATGGGACAGACCTCACCATTGGCTTCATCTCCTCTTCCGTAGCCATCCTTTTGTTTGGCTCAAACTATGTACCACTTAAAAAATATAATACTGGTGATGGTGATTATCTTTTCTTCATTGTCTACCTTAAATTATTTTTAAATAGGAAGTTCTTTTTTGGGTCTTTTAAAAATGATGACCACAAAAGTAAATTTTGTTGAACCCAGTGCCAAATGGATAGGGCTTAAGAAAAATTATTGGATAATGCCAAGGCAGTTTATCTGAAAGTTAGTCATTATAGGACAACCTTAAGTCTCTGTTTCATGGTAAAGCTAGGATAGATAGTCAGGAGAGATTTTTAGCAATATCTGTTATGTTTACAAAAGAAGGAAGTTAGCCCATTCTACTAATAACATTTGTTTTGAAAACACAAATTTCTAAGACAATTGATAGATTGGAGAACAATTTGAATATAACATGAATTTTGTGTTTGCTATGTGCAATTTTAACTCTGACAAAACACTGAGTGAACACATAAGACTGCATCCAGATGGATAGAGATGCATAGTAATACATAAAATGCGCTCACACACCCTCCCTTAAACATCCCCAGCTCCCACAGCCCCGCAGCCATCCTCCATCCTCGTCTGGTGTTAGAACCCTCCTTCCACCCACTGCACATGAGCTTACAAGCTGCAACGCTTCCAACACCCAATTCCATGAGCAAACTTCGGGTTGTTTTCAAGTTAAAGAGCCATATTTATTGTAGCATTTGTGAATTTCTTAACCACTTAGCCAGAGTAATAAAACTGTACAATCATTTTTACTAGGTTCTTATCTTTTTTCTAATACGTCGTGGATGAAGTTTTTGTGTTGTACCTTAGTCCCAATTTCCCCATAAGCTCTGTGGTTTTTATTGCATGATTCTGCATAGTGTAGGGATTTTTAGGACTCTAATGTCACATTATAGTAGAACTGACTATAATGTGAATTTGAGGGAAGAAGCAACAGTTGTTTTTATCTAACTGCTTTTTATATTAAAGCCAGAAGGAGGAATTGGACATGTTACGGTGAACACCTGTTAGAAACAGATGCGTTACCTCCCCAATTCCTTAAGTCTTGATACAACTTAGACTGTTGAATTACAAATCTTTTTCCTCTAGGGCCTTTCTTTTCCTTTGGAGTTAGAACATGAATGGAAAATACTAAAATAGGAACATAAAGCATACTAAGGGAGAGAGAACCTGGCTTTTACGTGTTTTCCTCAACTGTGTGATCCTGGGCGAGACTCATCAGCTCTTTTGTTCTCAATTCCCATTTATAAAATGAAGAACTTGTAAAATGATGTTCCCTTTCATCTTTATGATCCTACACTATTTTTGTCTTAGAGGCTAACAGCCATTTTTTCTTTGCTCCACAGAAATAGGCAAACATCTTCCAAAGTTAGAGTCAGAAGTGCTACATTGAGTTATCACTGCCTTAGTATTTCTTTGAATGCTGACTTTTTCTTTATCCTTTTATTTTTGTGATTGTATTTTTTCCATTACCATTTAATCCCCTTATACCTCTCTCCCCCCCTGCAATCACCACACTGTTACCCACGTCCCCGAGTCCTTTTACCTTTTAACTAGATCCCTCCACCCCCAACCCTTGATGGTTCAAAAGCCTGAGAAAGATAACAGATATATCTCACATCACCATGTAATGTTCAGATAACTGGCAAATGGCAACCCAGAGCACAGGAAGGAGAGTAGCCCTGACTTAGAAGGCTAATTCTCAGGGTTGTAACGTCTGGCTCATCACAGGCATTCAACTCTTGACTGTATGAGGTCTCTGTGTGACCCTAAATGACTTCATTTTTATTCCAGAGGTGGCACAAATGATCCCCAAAGGTTTAAATCACTGTTGTGCTGCTCTGAAGTTCTTAATGCCATCCATGTTTTTTATGATAGACAGCACTAGGTGTAGCATATTAATAAAAATATAGAGACGTGGTTTTGCCAGTACGCTTTAGCAGAAAATCTTTGATTTGTCTACTATGCGAAAAGGTGGTAGGCAGGAATGCACTGCTTAGTAAGCTTTAGAGTCAAACAACCTAAGTTTAAATTCCAGTTCTATAAACTACTAGCTGTTTGGAGAAGTTGCTTCATCTCATTCATTTTCTGTATTTGAACTAGGGTTAATTATGATAGACAGTAATTGTCAGAATTATATTAAATGTGCAAAGTTCCTGGCATACAGGCATTCAATAAATTGTGGCCATTCCCATAATAATATCTCATTGATATTCTTAAGCATTAATCCACTCAAATCAGTTTGAACCACTGACACCAATTTCTTTCATTTCCAGGAATGTTTCTCCAGTGGGTACTTTGTGCTGCCATATGGTTGGTTGCCTTGGTGGCCAACTTGATATTACATTGCCCTAAGTTTTGGCCTTTTGCAATGGTTGGGGGCTGTATTTGGGCAACAGGTAAAGTGTGATATAATTTATCATTTAATATTTTAATCCATTTATATTATGATTAAAAAATAACTGGTTCGTAATAAAAGGAAATGACATGAATAACTATTAATTCTGAATAATCCTTAGTCATAGATACTAGAAATTGACAATTTAGCTTCTTTCATTTCAGTGTTCCATAATTATTTTTTTTGGTGTACTTTCTGACTCCTCTTAATGATACTTTCTTAGTCCCTGATAGAAAGTTATAACAAAAATATTACAATTGCTCTGTATTTCTTCAAGCATAACTCATATATAAGTTTAAGTGCTCTGGCCTTTCTCTAGCACTTACAGGGAATATTTATTAAATAGTACTCTTCACTAATATCATTTTTAAGGTGTGTCTTTTAAAGTGGGCAAGCACAGATACATTATTATTTCAAAAGCACTGGCAGACAAAATAAGAACTAACAGAAAACTTCCAACTTCCTCCCTCTGTTACATTTTCAATACCTGAAATTATATAACTAGAATTTATGCCTTTGCTTAGCCAGTTAAGAATTCATAAGCACATCTCTTGTTTCTCTTTAGCAAAGAGAAGTATCAAGGATCTTTAAAGGAAATGTGATTAAAAGCAAATAAATTTTAAAATGCCAAAAATTTATTGGGCACTCAATTTGAATAAATGATTTAGTGAAATTCATGAGTTGGAGAACAAAAAAGTTAACTTTTAAATTTCCACTGGAATTTAAATTATCCCTTGCTTATACCTTCGTGTGATTATACCACATCTAATCGGGATAGGGGAACAGAGAAAGCATTCATTCATCTTGCAGATCTTGATAACCACTCCAATAGTATTTATATTCACCCAGCAGGTTCCACTGGAAGTCAGTTGAGGAAGGGTCTAATTTTAAATATGTTGCAGATGTGGATGTTATAGGTCATAGTAACTGATTGGATGTGGGTAGTACACACAAAAGGAACCTATGATGATGTAGAGATTTCATTGTAGGTGATTAGGAGGTTGGTGGTAGCAATGATACGGATGAGGAAAATAGGGAAAAGAACCTGTGTGAAAGAGATAATGATGAGCTCGGCTTGGGACCACCTGAGCTTGAAATCCCTGATGCTTCCACAATGGGGAACATCTGGTTGGAGACCTCTTATTGACAATTTGAAGCATAAAACTGTGGAGAAGTTTCAGACCAGACCTATGTACCTAGGAGTGTGTCTCTCTAGTTGATAGCTGAAATCATAAAATAACCCAAGTATCCAATGTAGAATGTAGCAAGATGGGGAAATTGTTTTAGGGAAAATGTTTAGGAGGTACCTGAATCTGGAGAGAAAGAGCTAAAGAGAGGAACAGGAGGGAATCAGAAGATGAGGGCATCTTGGAAGTCAAGAGAGGAAAGCTTTCCAGAAAAGATTTCCTGTACTGAAGCCAGACTGCTAAAGGGCTAAAAATTATTTAAAAAGATCATGGTTTTGGCTCTGAGTCACCCCCAAGAGGACAATGCAATAAATGCAGAAATACAGAATACACGTCAGTGAGAATGGAAGAGCAGAGTCTGGGGTCATAGTGGGCTGAAGACTTCTACCAGTGTTTGGCCTTGGTTCAAGTCTAAGAGGATGATCACTATTAATTTAATCATTGATGGCTACTGCAAAAAGTCAGAGAACAGAGACATATGTTAAGGCTGAAGAATATTAGTTAGGCAAGGAGCCACTCAATGTTTTTTTGGTATGATTTTGCTCTGAGCCTAGTTCTTTTAGCAATCATAATTATGAGTTTAATGCAAAAGTGTGGTTATTATATCTAAAAAATGATGAATTGTGTTTACTAAATCAGGTCAAATCCCATTAGTTTCAGTTGAAGTTAAAATAAAAATTCACTTTACAAATTATTTTCTGCACTGAAAATAATATCTTTCTTCTGTTATGTTACATCTGCAGGGAACATTGCTGTTGTCCCAATTATCAAAACCATTGGTTTAGGCCTTGGACTCTTAATCTGGGGATCATTTAATTCCTTAACTGGTTGGTCAAGCTCAAGGTAACACAAAGCTAAATATTTCAGCTAAGATTCTCTGAGTTCATTCTGTATGTAAAGCTACCACTATTCATTGGTCTTGCTGAGAGGAATAACATATGGTTCTTATACTTTCAGAGATTGCAGCTAAGATATATGCATAAAATATGGTACCTTTAATTAGTATTTACCCTAAGTTCTAAAGAAGCAATCGAGACATTTGATCAAGATATAGTAAAGAATTATCTCTATTGAAAAAAAGCAGGGAGAGAGAAAGGGAACCGATGTTTATCTTTTCTTTCTATCGTGTGACAATTTCTTGGACATGTTGTATGCATCAATTTTATCTCATTTTCATGAATATATGAGGTAAGCACCATCTTAAAAGAGAACTGATACTCAAAGAGGTTGGCGTAACTTGCTGAAGGACACAGGGCTAAAAAGCCAGAATTCAAGCCCAGGTCTTCTAGTTCTGAAACATATCTTCTTTCCTCTAGAGTCTGGGCCAGGGAGAGCAGACCTGGACCCAGCTTCCCAAACAGTTTTGTAAATAAAGAGTTATTGGAAACAGCCATACTGATCCATATAAGTATTGTCTATGGCTGATGCTAGACTACAAAGGCAGGGCTGAGATGTTGCAAGACACCATCTGGCTCACAAAGCCTAAAATATTTACTCTCTGGTCCTTTGAGGAAGAGTTTGCCAACCCTAGTTCTAGAGCTTTGCTGTCTAATAGTCACCACAAGCCACATGTGGCCATATATATTTAATTTATAGCAGCAGGGCAGCTACCAGTGGGAAGGTGTTGGGAAGGTGTTGAGTCAAATCTATGTTGACAGAAGAAGATTTGACTTTGGGTGGTAAACACAGTGCAATATACAGATGGTGTATCATAGAACTGCACACTTCAAACCAGTATCATTTATGAACAGGTGTCACCCCAATCATTTAAATTTAAAAATAAATTAAAAAATTAAAAACCAAAAATAAATTTAAATTAATTACAGTGGGATAAAATTAAACATTCAGCTCCTCGGTTGTACTAACGACACTGCAAGTGCTCAGCAGCCACATCTGCCCTAAGGCTGGCTGCTGCCCAGTCCAGCTGTAGAACAGCCACTAGTCACGGGGAGTTCTGTTGGGCTGCTCTGCACGGGTCTTGGTCAGCATTAAGGTTAACATTCAAACAGAGTGTGGGAAAATGAGTGAAAGGGAGGGTATTACTCTTACCTTACGTTTTGATCTCGGCTTCCCACTTAAACACTACAACAACTTCAATGATAACCAAACAAACTAACCTCCAATGCATTCCGTCCTGCCATTTCCCCATTCCCCTCTCTGCTTTTTATGTTTACTATTTTCTTTTTTTTTCTTCTTGCCTCCTTTTCTCTCACTCCTGGGTGTTTCCCAGTGATTGTTGGTAATGATCACTACAATGTCAAGGTATGAAAAGAAAAGGAACTTCAGATGATGCCGAAGAATGGGAGTGTTTAACAAGCAGTTATTTACAAGTCTATTTCAAATACTATACAAAATTGCAACCAACAAGTTAGCATTCAATTACCCACTTAATCTATTTTTTTCTTCCTTCTTCTTCAGTCTTAATAAGAAAGGGACACTCACAGGTACTTCTACATGTACTAACTCATTTAATCTTCATAAGAAACCTATAAGGCAGGTATAAATATCCCCATTTAAAGATGGGAAATTGAGGCACAGTGAAGATAACTTACCCAAGTCCCAGTAAATGAGGAACCTAGGATTTGAGCTTGAATTCATGCCCTTAAATGCTATGATGAACACATTTCCAGCAATATCAACTGATGGGACTTTCTTAATTTCCAGGTTTGGCTGGTTTGGAATGGATGCAGAAGAAGTAGCAAAACCACTGCTAAATTACTTTGGAGCTGGGCTCTCAGTAGTAAGGTACACAGCCATTTCTAATGATTTAGCTATTCCTCTAAACATTTAGAGTATTTTTTAAGGCATCCTAATGTCTTTACATTGTTGTAAGTCTGTATTTCATAAATTGACATGATTTTCCTCAGATTCTTCACTTACACCGACAGACTTGGCCTGAGAGGACAAAAAGTGCTACCTCTGGGGTCAGGAGTCCAGGCTTTGGCTCTCACAAGCTCTGAGACCCTGGGACAATGCTCTTTTGAAACTCACTTTCATTATCTGTAATATTTAGGGAATCATAATACATGGATCAAAAACAATAGAATTAAATGGTACATTAAAGTATTTTGCACACATGTAAGTAGATGTTGTGCTGGCTTCCTGAGGCCCCCAGAACTGCCATGGGTTCTCTCTTGTTACTCTCACTCACTCTGTTCCAGCCAGTGTCCACTTCCCTGTCACCTGACTCAACTTCTTAACCAGTTAGGTAACCAGATCTGTTCCCTATGCAAACACACACCCATTTAAATATTTTAGGTGTATCTGTGTCTAGTTGTTGACTCTTTATGAATGAGGATGAAAATGACTCTGAATCTCCATAGGGCAGTGTTTAGTCACTAAAACTCTTAACAGAAATTAGGTCACCTTAAATTCAGTCCCCTTTCCTCTCTAGACTCCATTTATACTCCCTGTCAGTCCTTCACATCGTGAATAGCACTGCCTGGAAAGATTTTAGTACTTTTTTATTCTTCGGGGAAAGAGCGCTGTATTTCCCTTCCCCTGCAATGATAACGTTTCCCCAGCCGCATTCAGAAACAATATCTTTGTCATTGAAATGTTGCCTTAGAGAGTGTTTTCAGGCCAATTGGAGAAGAAATAACATAGATTATACTAAAAGAGTAGATTTCTGACATTTTTGGTTAGAGGCAATATTATGTATTTTGTATGATTCACAGCACTCTAGCTTTGAGTAACCCTCTCAAAAACAATTTATTTACACTTAAAAATTGTAATGCTAGCATGCTGTAGTTTTGACTTAATGGTAATTTAAGGCCAGTTTATCCACTCAGGCAAAGTTTTTCTCCGTATTCTTTTTCTTTAGAAAATGTACATTCTCTGAAATTACAAATTATTCATGTTCTACCTACCACCTCTCTACCTGTGTGACCTTGGGAACATCACTCAATTTCTCCAAGCTTTGCTTTCTTTATCAGAGGATAAATTTGGAATAATCATTGCATCAGCCTCATAAGATATTTTGCGGATGAAATGAAATAAAATGTTAAGTGCTTTGTATAGTGCTAGACACATTACTGTTGCTCTATATACTGGGTGATTTTTATCATGATAGTCATTATTTTTATTAATAACTATTTCATGTTCAATTACTGTTTCCCCTTTGGATGTGCACCGTCCAACTCTATGGTAAACTAACTGATGCACTCAGAACTCATGCAGCTTGGTTTAGAGCTTTGTCTATAGCAGGAAAATGCAAAGATCTCTTTATCTAGTGCGTCCTGGCTCCCTTCTATGCTTTTTTACTCCAAGAAGTTTCTGGCACCTTTCATTTCATTATTTTAATGCAGTTAAATCAGCATGTTCTGAAGAGCATTCATTGAATGAGCTTAGAGCTTCATGATCAGTATAGGGAAACTTGGAATATGATTATATTAGTTAGGATGCTGCTTTTCTTTTTAAAATTGAAATTATTGCTTCTATCCTCTGTACAATCCGGTTTTTAAAGGATTGGGTAGATCATTTTCAGCCTTACATTTTCCCTGTATGATATCGAAGAGTCAGTCTCTACAACCAAAACTGCTCTAGGTAGTTTCAACAATGGAGGCTTTAACACAGGGGATTGTTTACAGAAGAGTTATAAGGCCCCATGGAGCAGGGGAAGGAGGTACCACCATTCACCCTGGAACGCACACTCTGGCCAACACTGCTGAAAAAATTGCCTCTGCCCTAAGCGATGGCTACTGCAGAAATTTCTGGAGTCATTGCCAAAAAAAAAAAAAATGGTGTCTTCCACCTTTTAATCCCACACATATTCCCCCTGTTGGCAAAACCTAGCTGCCAATACAGCCAGAGAAAATGTAGTGCTCAGTCCCTCAGTCCTCTAGATCCCTTATTCAGGACAGAATATCCAAGGGTGAAGTGGAGCTGACACCAAGAAACAACGTCCAGGACACTCTGGACATGTTTTAATGAAGGCCCAGAAGTCGGAGTTCCTTAAAAGACAGATTTTTCAATTAAAAAAGAAATGCTCTGGATTATCCTTCAGTTTACTCTCCATTCTTTTCTCACTTAACTGGCTTTCCCAGGGGACTTGCATTGTGAGGAAATCCAGATCTTTGTGTCTAGCCATTACCTTTCTTCAGAGCCACAGTCCTTACATTTAACTACAGACCAAGCTAGCCATCTCTACATAGATGCCTCCCAGGCACCTCCTACTCAGTCTATGGAGAGATAACCTGTGGAAGGGGGCCCTGCTTGTTCAGGGATGGTCAGAAATAGAAGTCCATGTAGGGACTTATGTTGAAAAGAGTTGTATGAAATTCTGACAGCAATGAAAATCAAAAGGGAAAGTTAAATTTCCAATGGAAAGGATTATGGAGCCATTCAAGTTTGTAAAGCAAGTAAGAGACTGAACTAAGGAAGCAAACTAGAAAACCCTTAATTTTTATATGAAAAACAGCATATCACATGTGCTTTTTCACACTTAGCTACCTACGCCATTTCAGCCACATATGTACTTTTAAAACTTATTATATATTTTTGTAACTTTTGAACCATACAGAAGTACTAAAAATGAATGTCGAAGTATATCAAAGTTGTAAGTTTTCTTATATTGATTTAATATTTTAATACATTTGCATGTTTCAAAAGTCAGGCGTAAGTGAGGCATTTGTTGCAAAGATTTTGGACATGAATAGTGCGTTATGAGAAATGTTAAAGAGGAAAAAGTCATTAGGCTATGCATGTGCTTTTATCTTTTAAAATATACTCTGGAGATCTTTGCCTATCAAAGCATAGAAGGCGCCCTTTCTATATAGCTGAATAGTATTCCATTATGTGACCATGAAGGTCACCTTGCCTGAGTGTGGATGTACCTGCATTGTAGGTCCTGGAACAGTATTGGTAAGGTCAGGAGTGGACACACTGCAGCTTTGGTACATGACCCCAGAGTCTCCTCTATGGAAGTTGCTCAGTTCTACACGTCCATCACGGTTACTTGTGTCCTGTAGTTGTCCAACTGAAGATGGTATTAAACTTTGGGGGTTTTTCCAATGTAGTAAGTAAAAACTATTATTTCAAGGTACTTTTTATTTATATTATTTTACTATCTAATTCCAGGGTTAGGCAGGAATAAAAAGAAAGATGGAGCCATTGGCTGAAACAAGAAAACCAGGAGAAAGATCTGATTGAGGGGGAAAGCTTAAGAGCTTAGCTTTTAACCTGTTGCAGTTAAGGACAGTGAGAGACGCCAAAGAGAATGGCAGTTCTGGAGAGAGGGCAGAACCACTAGAGAGGCTGCTGGGAAGTCATCACCATGTCAGCAGCACTTGACTTAAGCTGCGTTTTTTCTTAAGATTCAAGCACCTTGACATGAACCAGGGTTCATGATAAATATAACTAACATTCATTTTCCTTACAGTGCTTTCGTATTTTTTTTCATCAAAAGTGAAATACCAAATAACACGTGTTCTGTGGATACCACACCATTAATGATAGAGCATGTGAGTATATGATGGGAGACGATTTGTTTTGAAACATAACATTAAAATAAAAGGAAAATGCATATATTTGAAACAGAAATGAGGTGGTTTTTTTGTGTTTTTTATTTTTTCCAGTCAGGGCTATCTAAAATATTTGTTGCAACTAGGTCTAGGCAATCAATATTTCCCCAGGAAAGCTTCTCAGCCAACACAGAAGTCTATTTATTTTTACTAACAGTAGAGTCCTACTAGAAGGTGTATATACAAGCCCATATTTTGGAATGATTTAATGATTTCTACAAGAAAACCCTGAATATTATAGAGAAGTATGAAAGTTACTTTAGATAGGAGGAGGAAGGAAGTTTTAAAGTAGGCCCAGGGAGGGCAGGGGAAAATAGATCAGAGGAAGCAAATGAAAATGGAAGTCAAGGTATAGAAAAGTAGGAATTGCATTTTATTTTCTTCCTATTTTTCTTTTCTGTCACATCCTGTTCCACTCAAAGGTAAAGATAGGAAATAGGTAACAAGTGACTGTATTGACTTTGATGAACCTAAATTAATCTCAAATAGCAAATCTAGATTAAGTAGGAATAACATTTAAAAGAGAGCTGAAGTGCCATGGTTTCTTATGCAAAAGTGATTTTAAGGCAGACCCCCATTGCCATGAGCCCAGGCTCTAGTCCTTCCTATTTCAAGTATCTTTTCCACCTGCAGAGGTGTGGTCCCTGGCTGCACTCTGAATCTGGCATTTCACACCTGCCCAGAAGTATTGCCTTCCTGGAAGATGTTGCCTCTACTCCTTGCTTCAGAATTAACCCTTTCTCCTAGCAAAACTAATATCAGCTAAGACGACTGAAACCTCAGTTAAGCTGACATTAAAGTTAAATAAAATGAGTTAAGTGTTAAAGAACAGAGATTTATGAATCCAGAAACATCTCTAACCAAGGGAGTGTTTTTGTTAGAATGGAGGAATTGGGGTTAAGAGAAGATATCTGGTGTTCCTTGCCTATTTTGGGCATTCAGATGTATCTCCTAACCAAACACCCTTCAAACAAAGGAACAAAAAAATAAAAACATAAATGCAACTTGGTAATAGGTACATAGTAGGCTAGATTGTTCTAGAAATGGAAGTACACAAGTAAACCAAGTTTAAAGATGCATAAACAGCATGATCAGTTAGTGTGCAACCATTCAGATTGACCTCCTCAGTTATTGCCAAAGAAAAACTTGACTTACCATGTCACAAAAAATTCAAATCAAATTTCTTATCTCTTACAAAAATAGGGGTATAAACTTCAGCTAAGAGAGTTGATTGCATACAATAGTAGAAATACTATAGATTTTCTCATAATTCTTCACAATTTAGAATATTAACCTAATCTTGAAACATGGCTAAAAATGTCTAATTAACTAATTTCAGTTAAAAAAAATTTCTGAATAAAAATATGCCTATTGCTCTAAGGCAGTCCATAATATAAGAGTCTGAGTTTTCCTTGGTTCTCATTTCAAGTTATCAAAAAATGCAAATGAAACAAGCATTAATAACTTTTGTTAATTTTGATAGGTGTATCAAAATAACCATATGTTAAAACTGTAAAAAACTTTACATAGACAACTTACCAACTACCAAACTGTTCTGAATTAGAGTATCGGAATTAGAAACATTTGGGTAGGAGATTCCATAGAATCAGAACACTTAGTATAAAACATTCATACTTTAAAGTATATTTGAGAGAGTAGAGAAGGACACTGAAAATATTTTTGTCACCAATGTGATCATCAACTGAATGCTGTTTTTTGTTTTAGTTTGTGCCAATTTTTTCAACAGGTGACCAACAAAACCCAAGATTCCTGTCCTGGCTATTCCTGGGTGGATAAACTTTCCACAGTGCAATCCCGCATAGTGTAAGAAGAGGTTCTAGTATCCTGTTTTATATCTGGCTAAAGCAAGGGTTACCAGAGTGAAGTGATAGTCATCTGAGTTCAAGAAGAAATTGGTAACACAAGCTCTGACTTTTTTAACTCTGTGGTGAAGAGACTTTCTTGTGCCCTGCTGAATTTTTAGATACAGAGGTCCTTTGTCTCAGAGCATCAAGGAATTCCTAAGCCACTGCAGTATCCCTAACCAATATGAAGCTGACAAAAACAATCTCATTTTGCAAGATTTTTGTACCTAAAGTAACAGAGGTAGTATAGGCCACAAAATATAATAACCAGTAAGCTCTCAGCAATCCTAGTTGAATTAGGCAACGCACTTCCCTAGTATTGCACTGCCCTGGGTGTCCGCCTTCCAGGAGAAACCTCTCCACTCAAATGGAGACAGTTTGTAATTCCAAGACATTCATTGTCCAATATAGTAGAATATTTTGATTCTGTGTAGGTTATACCCCCTCGTCCCCCAATGACATCATAAAGACTGAAAGACTAAGGATGCACACCAGCCCCTATATTTTAGGGTTTGGGGGGCTGGCAAAGAATTATGAAATTATGGAATAGTATATACCTTGCACTTTACAACCAATGGTTGTTTTGGACTTTATGTGGGGACTCTTTTGCTCAAGAATATAAAGCGTTTCTTCTGTGAGCATATATAATATCCTCACAGTGGGAAAGAGGTAGTGCCTGGTGCATGATAAATGCTCAATAAGCATTTGAATTAACAGAACAAATGGAAGACTAGTAAAACAAGCTTTGGAAGACATAAATATGTTGCTGTTTTTGTTTCAGAATAAAACAAATCTCTTGAACAAAATGTCTTTTTCACAAAACATCTCCTTTGTTAAGGAAATATTTGTTCAGAAAAATATTTTATGCTGTCTCACAGTTAGTCATTCCGGGCCTGTTAGCCAGGTCTGTGTTGGGGGTGCTGCTCCAGGACTGTGCAGTCCTGCCTTCCCTATGACGTAGGGTTTCCACTGTGAGTAGAGCTCATTGCCGAGTTGGCCCTGTGGGTTTCTACAACTTCATGTTCCTTAAAGCTCTATTAAAATAGACTTTAAGAATTTGTTTTTAAGTTTGGGAAGGAATGTTTTTTGCCTCAAACTCTTTCCTGTTTCACGCTATTGCCGCTTTGTATTCAGTTAAAGGGACTTTTCCAAAACACTAATCATCTTCCCTCAAAACCTTGGAAACGCTTGCTTCATTGCAGATAACAAGTCTGAGGAGTCCACATGACCCCAGTGCTTACAAAGAAACATTTCCTTCTTATAAAAAATAATGTTTTACCTTAAATATGTAGATTATTTTATTAAATCAGGACTTCTTGACCATGACATAGTCAAACAAGACACAGGCAAATCAGTGGATCTCCATAGTTCTTTTGAACAAACTTGTGTTTAGTACTTACTCTGCCCTATTCCTGTGCTAAATATTATTCAGGGTTTTTTTAAAAAGCACAGAGCATAGTGTCAGTCCACAAATACTTTGTAATTTAATTAGAGAGCCAAGTTTATTTATGGAGGTTGTATACTATGATAGCAATATTCGCACCTGCATAATGACAATTTATAATAATGATCTGCATATAACTTCCGTAAATCATGTGTTTCCAAAATTAGACAGGGGAAGACCTAAGCTGCACTCAGTCCCGATGCCTCTTTGACACTGTGGAGTGTTTCTTTGACTTCTGCCAGTCATAGAGCTCAAGATAGATGGGTGATTTCAACATCGTTGCTTGTGATTTACATTTTGAAGCAGGCTTTAGTTATGATTCCATTTGTGTGTTTGTCAGAAATTGTTTTTCACCAAGGTTAACAGTGATTTGTTAATAATGATTTATTTGTATTTGAAGGGGCTGCAGTCTTGCAGTAATATCTGGAATCCTCTATGGATCCTCATTTGTGCCAATCATTTATATCAAGGACCACAGCAAAAGGAATGAGAGTGTATATTCAGGGGCGAGCCAGTACGGTGAGAGTAAAAAGTTTATTTTACTTTATCAATAAACTCAATACCTGTTTTTCTACTTAAGGTGAAAGGATTAAGCAAAAAAGACATAAATAAAAGCTTAGACACAGACAACAGTATGGCGATTACCAGAGGGAAAGGGAGTGAAGAGAAGTAGAAGAGGACAAAGCGGGGTAAATGGTGACAGAAGGAGACTGGACTTGGGGTGGTGAGCACACCACATAGTATAGAGATGATGTATGATCGAATTCTATACCTGAAACCTATATAATTTTATTAACCAATGTCGCCTCAATAAAATCATCAAAAAAGACTGCGAGCATAGTAAATATTGGTACCCAGATTAGATCTTCCTTTCTCGTTATTAAGTGGTGAATAAGAAAGGCAGTGAAGACTAAAAGTAATAAAGGACTGAGTATTTTCATGTGATCTTTAACATACAAATATAATCAACTTTAGTCAGCATTCATTTCCTACTGGGTATAAACACATGGTTTTCAGGTTTACATTAAGATCTGGAGATTATTTTCTGGTTAGATTATCTCTGAGAAAATATGTATTCTTCTCCTCTTTAAAAAAAAAGCTAAACTTTGGTACATAGTACTTTAAAATCAAGTAAAAGTCAAAGTATAGGCATCTTAAAGGTCAAAATATAGCCTATGTAGTCAGAAGATACTATGTTTTAAGCACAGAGTGGTACTTTGAAAGGCCCACATAGTGTTCCTTAATAATCTGTTTCTAGTGATAGAATTAATTTCTTAGGCATAAATTCAGCTCTATGTGCAATAGCCTTGTGGAGGCTCAAAAGGAGGTGAAAAAGTATCTACTTCAGAGGTCCTGTACTTATGTGGAAACATGGTTTACATTCATGAAATGATAAAAGGATGAAATCATGGATAATAAAGTTCTAAATTGGATGGTACATAAAATTCATGTGATCTATGTTCAGAAAAGGGAAAAATTTGAAGGGTCAAAGTATAGGGGAAGGATTGATGAAAAGACTGGGATTTTAACTCAACTTTAAGTGCATAGATAGACTTTAAATAGATACCATTGTTGCTTTCTTCCTCTTTATATTCAGCTCCTTAAAAATATTCAAATCCTTTTATTAACTTCTCTCTTTTTTTAGATTTTATAAAAATTACTTTTGCATTTTTATTTATTTTTATTTTTAAAGGATAAAAACTAATAAAAATAGAATAACATAGAATAAATTAAAAGAGAAATAAAAATGGGTGAAAAAAATAAAACGGAACCAGAAATGAGTTTAAAAACTATACCACATTTGTACACTTGATAGAAATGAGCCATAAATTTGGCTCTAGAAGATTTCTAAGAAATCTTCTAGAAGATTTGGATCTATAAGATTTCTTATAGCCACAAGAGAAGTCAGACCAGTACCACAATTTAGTGAGCATAAGATAACAACTAACTGTGCAGGAGTACAGTTGTTCTTAATACTGGGACATAATAAACAAGGTCCTTAACAATTTCTTTACATAAATAGTACAGTCAGTTCTTGGGGATCTTTCTTATGACAACTCAAATATAGCATGAAAGGAACACACTTTATTAAAGAAATAATTCTAAAGGGGCATAATGTTTTTATTTCATTTATTTAACAAACACGTAAGTAGTGTGTGCTCTGATAGGCACTGTTCTAAGCACATTACAATAATAACTCATTTGTAGCAGTGTTAGTGGTTGAATTTCATTATTATTGTTATTTTATAATTGAAGGAATTTTAGACAGAAAGAGATAGATAATTTAACCATGTCTCAAAAATAACAAGTAGTGGATTGAGGATTGCTACCCAGGTGGTTTGTGCTTTTTAAAAATTTTTTTAATCTTCACCCCAGGGTATGTTCATTGATTTTAGAGAGAGGAAGGGAGAAAGAGAGAGAAACATCAATATGACAGAAACGTGGATCAGTTGCCTCCTGTAGGCACGCCAACCAAGGATCAACCCCTCAACCCAGGTACATGACCTGACTGGGAATCAAACCTGCAACCTTTTGGTGTACAGGGAGATGCCCCAACTAATTGAGCCACCCAGCCAGAGCTTTTAACTGTTTGTTATGCAGCCTTTTATGCTACAGTATAGAGGAGTGTGTTGTTCTTATATGATCCAGAAGTAGGACTTTATATTTTTGAAGAATAGACAAACTCTTTGATCTTTAAACTTTCCTCCCTAAATATGGCCATTTATCTTGGTCAAAATTTTAGTTGAGAGAAATATTGAGTTCAAAGTAGCCTTACCAACTGGAACCTACCCATCTTTATGACAAAGTACTATCTGCTTAAACACTGAGTGGAGTTGGAGTTTCTCAGGCATTGGCCACCATCATGTGTTATTAAATTCCACATGTAATTAGGTTTATAGTTAACAATTGAATAAAACTCACTTTGGTGCAACTTCCTAAATATTCTTCTATATAGATATCATCTGCAACAGAGATGCTGGTCACCAGCTTCATCAACAGACCATATAAAACTAGCAGTCCCCCCAATTTTTCACACCCCTCCCACTATACTCTACTAGAAATGTGCTACAATTGCTGTAGCCATTAGTGAAATTAGGTCTGGATACCTATTCTTAAAAAGAAGATATTAAGGTTATATTCACATGGCGCTTCTTGTTTGTTGATTAGCTTTCCAAGACAATCACAAAGATGAGTCTTTTAGATTTGATTACAGTAATTAATTTACTGCTTAATATTTCCAGGTTTTAAATGCGTTAATTAGAATTCTATATGAAGAGCATGTAGAAAACTAGAATGATAAAATATAATTAACAGTTTATGTTTAAGGTTAATTTTGGTGAGTTTGTTTTGTTTTAGAACTCTAATTATATTTGAAATGACTAAAATGATACACTTAAGAGTTTTATTATCTGTATTTTCAGATTTAGACTATGTTTTTGCACATGCTAGTGGCATCTTTCTTACAAGTACAGTCTACTTTCTGGCTTACTGTATAATCATGAAAAATAATCCTAAACTATATCCTGAAGCAGTCTTGCCAGGTAAGAATATTTACTACAGAAAATTTTACTCTGTAAAAGTATCATTCTTTATTTATTTAACTTAAATAATCATCTTCTGGGAACCAAGCCATCCTGTGTGTGTGTATATGTGTGTGGTGTGTGTATATTTTTATTCCCTTAATTGCTTTGGCCCAGTTCACCAACAAATATGAAGAATTTAAAAACCAGGAAACTAAATATAAATTGCTAGTCATTATTATAAAATAAAACTTGAACAATGAATCTAAGATCATTTCCTATGCCAAAACATACTGTATATTGACCATCACGCTTTATTATTTCTTCTTTACTATCTGAGGGTTTCTATTAAAAGTCAGAGTCCTGTGACTTTATTTTTTTTTAAGTAACAACAAGAACCCATAGACATAAGAGCCCAACACTAAAGCAATTAATTCCTGGATGTGTATGTCAGCCCTGTTACCATAATGAACCTGAAACAAACTCTAAATTGTACGCTATACTGATGGCAAAAGGAGCACTGTGCCCTGGAAACTCTGCACTTGGAATCTGCAGTCACTTGGGAAAGCAAACATTTTTTCCAAAAATTAAGGAGAAATTGTTTTAGAGCTCAAAAAGTATATGTTAAAAGCATATGCTTTTGGACTTAATCCATTAGCCATTGATGGTAAAATATATATAATTTCTCATTTATTATTTTGCTACAATTCAACTGACAGTGGAGGTCTGTAAGTAAAACCTTTTGTAGAACAAAATAAAGCATATGTCAGAGACTCATTTTTGAGTGCCTGATTGATTTAAGCCAAAATCTGCCACTATACCATTATAGAAAGTGGTAGAATATTTGTTGAAGTCTTAGTTAAATTATCATGAAATTTTAGTTGGCGTTTTCATTCAAATTGTAGGGCCATTTTTCCATAGCTCTAAAGCATCATTCTGAGTTTTGCATGTTTTTATGTTCATGGTTTAGAGTAAATGGTGTTTGCAGGGCATGTTCAGATCCAGTATCTTCACTAGTTCCCCCTCCACTACCCAATCTTTATTCACATATTACTTCGGGTACTTTATTTAATGTCAATAAAGTGAAAGGATTGATCATTATACCCACAGCAGTCAAGAGCAATCAGTTGGTTTCCAAAATGATCATAAAGCATATTTTGAAATCCATTTTGGCCAATAATGTGGATAGGAATGAATTGATATGTACACTTTACTGTTCCTGCTGAATCTACAGTGTGACTTTTTCAGGAGGGGAACATGGTTTGTAAATGTGTGATGTTTGTGTGTATTTCAGGGTTTCTGTCAGGAGCACTTTGGGCTACAGCTTCCTGCTGTTGGTTCATAGCTAACCACTCTCTCAGCGCTGTGGTCAGCTTTCCGATAATCACTGCTGTAAGTAGCTGGATTGTTTCTCTAAATTTTGGTTTTTTAAATGTAAATCTAATTTTTCTGAAACATTATTAGTGAATCAATGAAGACTGTTATGGAGTTTTATTTTTTAGAAGGACAATTAGTATAATAGATTCATGTGAATAAACTGATAGGTACCCTCTAATCTCATGTCTTTGATTGACAAGAAAACATTGCTAACTTCATTTTAGGTTTCTTCATCTTTGATATCCTTGCAATGTTTGTTTGGTCATTTTACCTAATGTCATTTTGGATGTATTATAACTTGCTATTTATAACAATATACATGGCTATATAACTGTTTATAAATATAAAAATGCTCATGTGTCTATTATCACACTTAAATGACCTGGCCACCTGTGAGACAGAAAGTACTTCCTACTTCTCTTCATAGGGAACTTCAGTATTTTTAAGGAAGGCTTTCAGAAAGTGCTAAAGCAAAGTATTGTCTCTGGGTAATGCCATTTATTGTGGCAAATGTAATACAATTTGCTTCATCTGGCTGTTTTTTTTTTAGGTTCCAATTATGGAGCACATAGGTAAAAGAAAAACAAAAATATTTCTTTTGACACAAGCAGGACAAGTATCAATAGGCTTGTCCCCATTTTGAAGATGAGAAAATTGAGGCTGTCGCTAAAAGCATTGTTGGAGGGAGAAAGCTAGTGGGAAGCTCAAGGCTTCCAAGTGCAGAGTTTCCAGGGCCCAGTGCTCCTTTTGCCATCAGTATAGCATCCAATTTAGAGTTTGTTTCAGGTTCATTATGGTAACAGGGCTGACATACACATCCAGGAATTAATTGCTTTCGTGTTGGACTCTTATGTCTACTCTAGGTATTTACAACTGCTGACCAGTTAGCTGTTCACCTTTATCCCTTGCTTCCTTAACCATCATCTAGTCTAAAACATATTGCATTAAAGTTTGAAACATCCTTAAATTGTAATAAAAATTGTGGGTTTCAAACAGTATATTTTTTGACAGTTTTACTGTGTTCATAAAATAGTTAGATTTAAAGTACAACTAAATCTGAATAAATTAGTTTTTTTTTAAATATAAAGAACTCACATTGTCACATGTTTGATCTTTGCTAGGGGAAAATATTATCAAAATCAAGCATGTTGTAGGAATTATTTTAGGTTTAAGTCCTCATCATTGGAATGGCAAAGGACCCAAATTTTTTCCACAAAGGGGTTTGTTTCTCATCATTTCAGGGATATTTAATGTAAGAAGTGACCACATAATACAGGGAAATATAATGGACAATGGGGCATAAAGCTTACCAGTTAAATGCTTAAAAGTAAATTTGCATAGAGAAGTATACAGTATGATATTCTCCTCAAGTAGGGATACAAGTGTTATATTCATGAACAACGGTGGGTTCTCCAAAAAGAATTGTTATGAAACAGTTTTATGTAAAATACACAGATGCAATCAACTCACACAAGGCAAATAGAAATATAAACATAGAACATCGAAACTATAATAAAAATGAGAAAGAAAGCAAATAGCACAAAGGGTAAATAGTTAAGTGACTAAAAATTGTTTTGCACTTGTAAAAGGGGGTAATACAATGTGGTAGCTAATTATTTTTAACTGATAATATATTATTTTCTCAGAAAAGACAACTTATTTTCTAGCATTACATTTTAAACAGAATTTAACCTAGGGGGCCTTTTACAAGGGACATTGAACAACAATAAATAAATATTTTTTACAAAAATATTTTACAGTAGACAGAGAGATGGTTTTCCAACTACTGTTTCTATGTCAAAATTATGGGAAAGTCTTACGGCAAAACATTAAAACCTAGTTCAGTGGAAATAAATTGCTGAGGTAGAAGGAGTGTGGGCAGAGGAGTCAATAAGAGTGGCTTTTGGAGATGTGCCCGTCAAAAGGATTATTTTTGAACCACTGTGATATAAGCACAGTCAGCCCACCCAGCAGGTATAGCTTCCTGGTGCTTGAGGATTATTATCTGGGAAGGACAGCTATTGCTGGGAGGTGAGGAATAGGTCCTTATTGCCATAGTTCTTACTTGGTTTTACTTTTGTTACTCCATTTAAGACAATCTTATTCATGTTCAGAGAAGACTTAGTCCCTACCCTCAAAGATCTTACTTTTTTTTAAATTTTATTTTCTTAGTAGATTTAATATTTTCTAATAGAAAATTTCAAATATACCCATCACCAGCTTCAATAATTATAAATATAGTCATTCTTATTTTATCAAAAAACACATTTTTTGAATCCCGGTAGCTCTGTGTTTCCCATTTATTCACAATGTTACTTATCTATCAGTGAGTGGACTATGAGTTCCTTGAAATCACATTTATATTGTTTATTGGCAAATAACATTCAATTAAAAGTGAAGGAAGGAAGGGAGGGAGGGAGGAAGAAAGAGAGGGAGGGAAGGGAGGGGAGGGAGGGAGGGGAGGGGAGGGAGGAAGAAGAAAGAAAGAGAGAGGAAGAAAGAAAGAAAAAAGAAAGGAGGGGGCTTGGAGAAGGAAAAACCCACAGAGCATGAGAAAGGTCTTGTTACCTCTTCCCCAGGTCTTCCCTGTAAATCTAAAAGCTGAATTCATCCTTAAAGATGGCTCAAGCTCACCTTTTCAAAGATTGATTTACAAGTGTGATTTGTATAAATTTACAAAAGGAAAATATACAATTCCGATTGTCAAAACAGTTGTATCTCCTACCTAGGATGCCCTTCCTATTTGGCTCTCCTTCTCCTGAACCAAAGAGGCTGCACACACTTGACTTATAATTGCATTTAGCAAAGTACCACTTCCTATAACCACATTACTCATCACAATAACCTTTAGCTGCTGTCTCAGCAAATATTTAGAAAATCATCAGCCAAAAAGCCTCCAAGGTCAATGATACCTTTTTGTATTATCTTTTACCAAGTGCTCTGAAGGGAAATGAATTTCCTGATTAAAGAGGATAAAATGTTTAAGCAAATGGCCTGATAACATTAATATTATAACCCCTAGTCTATTGTTTTCTTCCACCCTGTCCAAAGTCAGTATGGACCCCGATGCTTCTGGGCTGGTTTGGATTTTGATGCTTAGGACCTTATGTCATTGATAACAGACAGTTCCTTTGACCTGTTTCTCTGGCTCTTTTGATGTAGACTTTGCCAGATGCTGACAGAGAACAATGTTTTTTTATTACTTTGCCTACATGCTGGGAGTGGAGCCTGACTTTGCACATAGACAGTTGGAGAAGTGGAGGAAGAAGAAACATGTTGGAATTGTTTATTTAAAACTTCAGAGTTCGTGCAGGCTTCAAAAAGAATCATAAAAATGCTAATGCAATTTACCTTCTCTACAAAAACCATGATTATTTCAAATTCCTATTTTTTCCTTTCTCAACTAAAAAATAATGTCTTCAATAGCTTAAGATTTCAAATTGCACCATTGTCCTTTTTTCCCCATCTCCTTTCTTCTCATGTCCTTTATATTATTTTATTCCTGTCTTTGTTTCTGGTTCATGAACCCATTATTTATTTTTCCTCACATGGTATTTCTCTTCTCCCATAGTACTAGTTTTAACATTTATTAAGAGTTTAAAGTTAGATATAGTTGATCACTGTGAAGTAGTATCATTTTTTTAAAAAATTTTAAAATACATGCTGCTTCCATATGCACATTATTTCTCAGTTCCAAAAGAACATACTAAAATTTTTTCAGTTATGAGATTATCTCATCCCAAAAAAAGTTATAAATTTCTTCATTTGGTTTTTCCTATTAATCATATTTCTAGTACTGTAAATAACTAGTTCTCTAGAGAAAAATAAACTACTTGCTTATTAAAATTATTATAAATAGAACAAATTTAAAAAAGTATTCTGTAGCACAAAATATTATAGCATCATTGAAATAATAAAAATGAAAACCATAAAGAAAAAAATAAGTCTCCATATTTTACCTAATGTTACTTAGTTTAATTTAATGTTAAGTTAAATGTTAAGCATGTTGTAGGAATTATTTTAGGTTTAAGTCCTCATCATTGGAATAATTATTGAGATTATTTCCCTGACAGTATTGTTATATTACTATAGAAAGTTATGTGGTTAAAGTATCAGTTCAGCTCTCCAATTTACTATAGAGTACAGCCACAGAAAAATAAGTGATATAGTACAAGTTCTAGTTTTTTGTGTTTTTTTTTAAGGGCCCAGGATTTGTAGCTGCAATGTGGGGTGTCTTCATGTTTAAGGAAATACAGGTACGTACAAGAAAGGGCAGAGTTATAAAACATGTACTAAGGGGATTTAACACTATGTTTGTATTTTTTCTGAAAACTGCATGTAACTACTAAACCCAGTGCAGAAAACTCATGCATAGAGGTGACAGGTCAGATGTTCAAAATGTCTTTTCACCCCTAACTAGTAAAGAAAATAATAAAAATATAATTATTATAAAGCATGTTTCTTTCCACACTGCCCTCAGTGGAAAAGCACTTTAGTTGAATTTATAGTTCCATAAGAGATTTTGTTAAATACTCCAATAAATTATGATACAGGGAGATTTTATTTTGTGTAAAACATGGTAGATCAACAAAACAAAAAATGTTTATCCCCCAAAATAAAGTATCCCTGAGGCAAATAGAATTTGGGGATAGATATTTCTGTGGGTTCTTCTTCCTACCAAAGGCCTCCATATCAAACTGACAACTTTACAGGAAAACAAAATGACTCTTACCTCTTCTTCCTTCCGTAACTGATGGTGATTTAAACACTTTCTCAAGGCATCACCGACATAATATTTTCTGTCTTAATATGCAGCTGTAATAGCAAATAATTCTTGGTTCTCAGAAGATCTGATGTTGCTAATCTCTGGGAATCATGAAGTGAAATATATCCCCAGCTAATCCTTAAAGTGACCATTCAGTTTTAGATTTAAGAAATCATTTCATTCATTCTAAATGACATATTCTGATTTAGAAAGCCATACTTTGATAAAATGAGTAAGATTCTCAGATGAAATAAACATGTTTAGAAGATCCTTGGACCATGATCTTAATTTTTTTTTTAAATACACAGACAACTTTAAAAATTTATAGACTCATAAGTTACTTTTATGCACATGCTTCTCATTTATTTTAGTTAGGGTTACTTTCCACAAAAAATAATTCTATTCCCATAACATGCTGTAAATCTCTTTGCAAATATTTCATCTGCCTTCAAAGGATAATGATTTCTATTTAACAGTTATTCATCAGTATAACATTCTGAAGCCTTAGAAAATCACAAGTAGTGACCAGAGCTTGCTTTCAATTAAGGTGTAAGGAAGCACAAATTAAGAATAGATTTATTTTATGTTTTTGAAATTATTTTGCTTACTACTACAGTAATAATGATAGTGAATTAAAGAACCTTTTTTCTAGATGTAAGAACTGCCTAGAGAGAGGGAATATATAACCGTTAAGCCTAGTGCTACATCTTCAGAGTCCTCTAAAAAAATACTAAAATACATTCAAAGAGAGTTTTTTTCCCCCCAAAAAAAAGATATCCTTAAAAAGACAGACCAAGCAGAGGAGGAACTTTTAAGAATGATAAGCCATGACCAAGTAGGACTTAATTCAGGAATGCAAGAGTAGTTCATAATAGACAATTTAGTTCATTTAACTTTTTACAATATCAAACGGGAAAAAATATGTGATAATATATGTTCAAAAGACATTTACTAAAAATAAAAACCAGTTTTCAGTTAAGAAAATAACTTCTTAGTAAAGCTATAAATAGGAGGAAGCTTTAGATACAAGATGTCTATTAAAAACAATAGCAAATACATAACTGAGGTGAGACACAAGAGCTCTCTATCAATTATTCCTTGATAAAAGTGAAGAAAAGAGTTCTCATTAGTTGGAAATCAAAGATCTCTCCATTGTTGCCATTATTTGGTATTTTCTGAAGATCTTAGCCAGTGTGGTAAGATAAAATTAAGAATAAGAGAAATAGATATAAGAAAGAAATGGGATCTTTGTCATCTCAATGTAATATTATATTGTTTAAATTTTTAAGAAAGTCAGCTGAAAATCTTATGATCCAATAAGATCATTTACTAAGGTGCTTATAGCATAAATATAAAATCAATATCCTTCTAATGTGTCACTAATTATCAATTATAAAGTGGAAAATAGATACTATTAATACCTACAATAATTATAAAAATATATGAAAATCATTAACAAGAAGTATGCTAGATTTATAAATTCTAAATTATAAATTATAATTATAAATTATTTTACTACAAAAGTTTACAAAAGGACATAAAAGAAAATCAGAACAAATGGGAAGACTCACCATATTCCTGATAAGATTACATTCATTGAGAGTCCTATAAAATCCCAGCGGAATTCCTTCTGGAATTTAAGAACGAGTGTTAAAGTCTGGCCAAGTGTGGATGTAAAAACAGAGAGAAAAGGCCAAGCCTAGAGCAAGGAGTGAGTTTGTTGACCTTCCTCAAGTCAAAAAACCTTACAAATCCACCTACAAACTAAGCTGAAAGGATGTCCAGTGATGCTTACCATTCGGTGAAGAAGCCCACCTCTTGATAACTAAGTTAAAGGAAGTTTTAAATACAAAGTTATCAACTAAACACTCAACCCAGAATCCTATCAGAATTTTAAAAATTTCTTTTCCTTAGAAATAACATAAAACCCTAGAGAAAAACAGAAGCAAAACATTTATCTTTATGACTTTTAGGTCCCATTAGTTATATCTTAAAGCTGTCCTTAAAGACACATATTTAAAAGTCTACAACCTACAACAGGAAAAACTTAATCTGAGACCCAAGCACTTGTGAATGAAAGAGTTTAGTGATTTTATTTTATTTTAATGTCATCAGTGCTCCAGATGGATGCTTTGCACATCTGATATTCTTTTATAATTTTTGTGTCTGTTTCTGTTTGGGAAGTTTGTTTTAGAACTTAATATTGAGCTATTTTAAGCCAAATAGTCACTATATTTTTAGCAACACTTTTTTTTTTAGCCAGTGCGTCTACAGTAATCCCAATGCAAGGGATTATTACCCCAACAATTTATGGGTCAGGAGCTACCCCCATATAAAGAATAAAATGATTCTTTATCTCAATAGCTGTTTCAAACATCCAAGTTAAAAACTTTTTGCTTTGCGGAGAATGTTAGCGTGATTTTTCTAAGAGCTCACATTCACCTTTGACCAAGGAAAACCATTAACCCAAATAAAACCAATTTGTTTGTTTTTTCTCTAGAAGACTAGGCAATTTAGACAGATTCTTAACCTTAAAGGTAAAAAAAATGTATTTTATTCCCTGAGGAGATTATTCTTTTGTCTACATAGACAATGAAACAGAGAATTTACCAAAATAGTCACATAGCTAGATTGCAAAATGCTGCCAACAAAGGCCCCACACATTGCTTTTTCTTTTTTAAGTAATCACATCAGTTTTCTAATTTAAAGTACATTCAGCAATCACTTGAGTGTATTCATTCTCTGAACAATATTTGTTGAGTGCCTGTTCTGCTTCAGTACTGATGTTTAGGTAAAGGTGCTGTTTTAAAACTAAGAAAAAGACGTCAGAGGCCCTTAATGCCTTAATGCAGGATTCGAGTGTGCGTATGAGCCTGTGCTGATCTATACTTGGCAAGGCCTCCTGGTGCTTTCACGTGTAGAACTTGTCTCAGCGTGACCTCTGATAGTTTTCATGCTCACAGTGAATCAGAAGTACAACTGGCTCCAACCCAATTTACAAAGACCTCTCTCTGGTCATCAGAAAAACAAATAAATCTACTCTAACCCAATTCTTTATTAAGTTGAAAAAGGGAATATGCTTTGTATTGTGTGTGGCTTACTTATTAACCGACAGTGATCTTGATAAGAGCTAACAATAGCATTATATAATTTGACTCTCAGGAGATCTCAATGTAATTTTAGATCATATACCTAAAATTAAAGAGGCACTAATCCTGTTTTATGTTGTAGTGTTCAAAGCTTCCCTTTGGGGGCCTATATTTAAAGAGGGATATGGACAACTGGGCAATCAATGATTCAGAGGGAAACAGCCAGGAGAGGAGGGAGCTTGAAACAGTTCCATACAGAAAATGATCAAAGGAGCTGAAATATTGACCAGGAAAAAAGATACTTCAGGTATATAAGGCAGTTAACAGCCAGGAGAGTGAGGAAGCCAGGAGAGGGAAACAGCCAGGAGAGTGAGGGAGCTTGAAACAGTTCCACATAGAAAAGGAGCTAAAATATTGACCAGGAAAAAAGATACTTCAGGTATATAAGGCAGTTATTTTTCAGTGTTTGAGCGTTTTTCTTGTGGGAGAGAGATTAGAAATTGAGTCATCCGTACCCCTAGAGATAGAACTTCCAGGGAATAAAATATTTTTAGTAAATATAGGATAAATAACATATATAGTTATATATTATATATAAATAATACATATTCTTTGTTTATTTAAAGATGGACTGTCTCCATGCGAAAGTGATTCTCAGAGTTTCCCGTCTTTTGTGCCAGTGCACCCATACATAGCTGGACAAGCCAAACTTAGTCTCTCTGTTTCTTCCTCACCATTTAGATTGATCTCTATTTATTCATCTGAACTTTATCATCTCTCCCCAGGAGGACCGTTGTCACCTCCTTATGGGTCTCCTTCCATACATCTGGTCCCTTCCAATCTGTTCACCATTGTCAAAAAAGTGTGGGCTTTTTCAAATGTGGATCCAATCTTTTCACATCTAGCCATCTCTGTTTCCATTGCTTGGAAAATTAAAACCCCAAAGTGGAACATGACTATTAGATCCCTATAAGCTCGGTCAGTAGCCTCCCCACCTCATCTTGCTCTCCCTAACTCTCATTGCTCTAGTCATGCTGACCTTTCAGCACCTGGCAAGTATCCTGTTTTCTGTTATAACAGAGCTTTGCACATTAACAGTCTTTGTACCTGGAATTTCTACCTGCTGCCCTCTTTCCCTGCCCGTTTCATTGATACTTATAATTAGAGCTCAACTTCCCATCCTCCAAATCACCTTGTTAAGATTCTTATAACACACTCAGAATCGCTTGTTTATTAATGCTGCCTCACTTTGTAACATTCTTTTCTGTGATTATTTTATCAATTACTATCTCCCATATTCTATGATTAGCTGAATAATTCTACCCTTACTTTTGCATATTTTAACCCCAGCACATATTGATGCACAGTAGGAGCCCACCTGTGTTTCCTGAAGGCGTGAATTGGTAAAGCTCTTATAAGTTTTCAGAGGAATCTGGATGATTACTTAGAGAAATAGCTATATATATAGCCATATATGTATATAGTGGCTAAAGAAGATGATTAATAAGGTCCCCAGTAATTTTGAGAGTATGTGCTTTTCGCATGTTTGATTTAGAAGTTTTTAATTGCAGTTACTCTTTTTCTATTATTCAGGGTCAACAAAACTACCTATTAATGATATTTGCATTTTGCATCATCTTGACTGGAGCATTATGCACTGCTTTTTCTAAAATCTAAGAATCACAAGACCAGCAGGTGGCAGCAGTGGTTAAAACAACGCCTCTTCTAGACTCCAGACAGATTATTATGAGAACAGAGCTTATTTTCATACAGCAAATGGATCTCAACTCATCTTGGAGTGGTTAAATGATTATTTTCACAAATGTGAGAATGAAGGAAAACTGATTTTCATTCAAGTATGGGGTGACTAAAATGTCTCCATGTTTACAGCATTACATCTCAGGATGCTTTTTTCCACCACAGTATGTCTTTATAGTGCTGCATAATCTAGGAAACAGTGTGGAGTTCATACAGAAAGAATTCTGTGTATGTCTAGATTTCCAGTACATTATACTCATTAATGAAGGGAGGCAGAAAAGAGGCAGAGAAAGTTGGGGGTAGGGAGAATGATGGAGAAAGAAAAGTTAGCTCATAACGGAATTAGATTCCAAAGATACCTGGATCCTTTGCTAGAAAAAGTAAATGTCAGCATTGGTAGCTGAATGTTAAAAAGGCCATTTCATTATTTTTAGGCCAAACTTATTTTTACTTCAAATTAACATTGCCCCACCTCTACATCACCCACCCATCTTGCTTAGCTCAAAATGCTTTTCATTATCTCCAAATCAAAATCCATCTTCACCGAACAAAAATTTCCTGTCATTGAGAGTATGAGTACAATGCCTATATATGATATGCAAGTACATACAAATACACACACATATGTATGTACTATTCCAAATTTGGGAGAAATTCTAGAGTTGCTAAAATGAGGTTCTAGTTTATCAGAGCGTTTAAAGAGACCAAACACTCCTTTGGAGGGTGGGTGGGTGGGTGGGTGGGTGTGTGTGTGTGTGTGTGTGTGTGTTTCCTTAAAAAAAAAAATCTTTTCTAAAATCTTTCTTTCATCCAGAGGTTTTCTTCCTGTTTTCACGGGTTGTTTCTACTAAGCAGCAGAGAATGACAGACATGCTGGTTTTATTTCTTTAAGAAAACTGAAATGGAACTGCTAGTGCCAAGTTCATCATGACGGTTCCTAAACTTTCAAAATAATACAGTACCCAGTGAAGTGTACATTTCACCCATCCCACCTGAGAGCACATCCCTCCGTGGTGCGGAGGAGCGAGAATAGCATTCTGCTCCGGTGCAGGCACTGTGGCGGTAACCTGCGTGCCTGTAAATCCCACCTCTGCTTCGTGGTGCTCAGTTGGCTTTGACTAAGTTTCTGAGCCCCCTGCATCAGAATCCTCATCTGTAAACTGGGGAGTTTGTCTAAACAGGCAATTGCCAAACCTCTCCTTTTTGTTCACCTTAGGAAGTTAATGTCCATCTCTCTTGAAGTGTTGAGGTGTTACTTTCCCTTGTCTCATGTGGTTAAATTCTTGTGTTTATTTTAACTTTCTCCAGCGTGGCTTTCTGTGTCTGTGCACAGAGATGGCAAAGCCTTAGGACGGGAAATAGTAATCCAGTGAGGCTCACATCCTCATTGTGGGAATTTCCTACTATCAGAACAAAAATCTCTAATTCCTAATGAATTTTAAGAAATTAATACAGCATTTCCCTTGAGCTACCAAATTTACTTTTATTTCTGTATCTATTTAATTTTATGAAGAATTTTTAAGAGAAAAACTGAAATACTTAAAACCGATCTTTTAAATGGAATTTTTGAAGGAAAGAAATAATAACTGTGTATCATACTCTCTTTTGGCTCAAACCACTTAACTTGCATGTGTTGAATCATCGCCAAGAGATCAGTGACCAAGGCTGCCTTTACTTCAGATCCTGCAGAATAATTACTCCTCCAGGAATAAAATCTCTAACACAATTTATCTTGAAAAGATCCCATGAAAACAAACAAACATCCCAATTTCTAAATGGAGATTTTCCAACAAGACCTAATGAAATAAAATAAATCACTGGAAATGAACTGGATAGAAAGGCAAGATGGTGGGCTGGACATCAGAACCTAATTTCCTAAAACATTCCTCATGATTTTCTGAAGTATTGCTACCTAATAGGTCCTCCTGAGACACTGATTGTGTGGTTTGTTGGGTTTTTTTTTAGTTCTCTTCACCAACAAGGTACTTAAAAGCACTTGTTTCTAACTCGTTCATACCTCACATAATTAAAAAGTTTATAAATCTGTCTTTCACATTTTCCATAAATATTGAGTTATAAAACTCACCTCAAATAATTTTTTTTCCAACAGAAAAGACTCTATTGCTTTTCTTTCTTCCAGACGTTTAAGAATTATATTGACTTTATATGCTTGTGACAATTAAATTTGTTGTGAGCTCCTTAAGAGTAGCAGTTGTTTAATTCATCTTTATATCTCAAGGACCTAGCACAGTGCATGGCATGCAATTAAAAAAAAAAAAAGGACTTTTGTTTCATGTACCCTGAAGAATATCTTAAAGTAACAGTCCAAAATTTATTAGCTAATGATTCTTTAAAAACTGGTCCTTAGATGTAATGCTGTAATGATTCTTTAAAAACTGTGAATTCACTGAGTCACACATAAAATATTAAGTGGTTTTTCCCACTTGGTGATGATGTATTATTAGCCTTTCTGTGTGTTGGATTTGATTTCCTAAAATTTGACTAAAAATGTTTGCTTTTGAGTTCGTAAGTGATATTGGATTGTAATATCAGGGTAGTACTAGTTCCAAAAAGTTTCTTCAGCCTTGGTATTTTTCTTCCTTAAATGTTTGGTAGAATTCAAAACCGAAGCCTTTTAGGCCTCATTTTTTTTTTTAAACAAAATGATTCAGGTTATCTGTTTCTTTTTGAATGGGCTTTCCTAATTTATGTTGTTCTAGGAATTTGCTAAATTTGTGTGCATTGTAGAAATTATTGGCATTATAGTGTTTATAATATTTCTTTATTCTCCTTTTCATATCTGCAGAATTTGTAGTGATGTCCACTTTCTCATTTCTGCCATTGGTAATTTGTCTCTTCTCTTTCTTTTTCTGAACATTATCGCTAAAAATTTATCAGTTTTGCTTATCTGTTCAACAAATTAGCTCTAGGTTTCCTTGTTTTCTCTACTGTGTTTTTCTACTGTGTTTATCTACTGATTCGTGCTCTTCTACATTATTTGTTTCATTTAGTCCCTAACATGCTCTTATTTCCCACCCCCTCCTTCTTCCAGAACTCATTATACATATATTAGACTGCTTTAATTTTTCCTACATCTCATGGATTCTCTGTTCATTTTTATTCAGTTCTATTCTGTTTTATTTTCAATAGTGTCTAACATTTTCTCTTCATGTTCACTTTCCTTCTTCAGTGTCCAAACTATTATTACTATTCTGTATACTTTTTATCTTAGGCATGTTCATCACTGAAAGTTTTATTTGGGTCATTTTTTATACTTTAATGTCTCTTCTTAATATGCCTATGCTTCCTTCTACATTCTAGAATATACGGAGTATAGTTACGATTACTGTTTTAATGTCATTGTCTGTCCTGTCATCTATGTCATTTCTGGGTGAGTTTCCATAAACTGATTTTTCTCATTATAAGTTGATTTCCTTGTCTCTTTGTATACCAAATTATTTTTGTTTGGATGCCCAATATAGTGAATTTTATGCTGTTGAATACTAGGTTTTTTTCTTTATGTATGTCTGAGCTTTGTTCTAGGAGCCAGTATAGTTACTTGGGAAGTGTTTGATCCTTTCAAGTCTTCTCTTAAGCTTTCTTAGGTAGAGTCATAGCAATATTCAGTCTCATACATGGTCATACCATGGATTCAAGCAGTCTAATATATGTATCATTAGTACCCTTCTGAATACTATCCAGATGTCTTTATAATATGAGGCGTTTGTTGTTCTTTAACTGGCTGTGATCAACATGAAATCCTTCAAGCCCTAGGTCATTTGGGGGATTTTTTTTCCCACCTGCTCCTTTTCTTTCCCGAGGTTCTTTGCCCAGCCTCTATATATTTCTCTCACACATGTGCTGATAGTTAGTCAGCTAAACATTTCCGAAACCCTTTCTAGCTCTCCCTCTTCCTCCAGTCTGGTATTTTATCCTATATATTCTGCCTGCCTTGACCTTCCTAAATATATTGTATCTATCTATTCAACTAAGGAAAACTGGGTTCTGTTTATATTCTCCTGCACTGCAGCCCCGCAAACTGTATCCAGGCAATAAAATTGAAAATCATACTGCTCAACTTACTTGTTTTCACTTCAGCAGGGATCACAGTGCTGTCTTGCCTGTGGGCTAATGTTTCATATATTTTACCCATTTTTAATTTCTCTAATGTGGCAGAATTAACTGTTTCTAGTACTCCATCTTTGCCAAAAGCAGAAGTCCTCTAATTAGCATTCTGTTGATTTTAATTCCAACTTTTGGCACATTTTCATGAATTGCAACCTCAAAAAATAATTAGGTATTAAAATCAATTGAATATAGCCCCCTAAGAAATATGTCCAAGGCCTCATTTCCAATACCTGTGAATGTGCCCTTCTTTGGGTCCTTACGGATGCAATTAAATTAAGGATTTCAAGATGAGATCATCCTGGATGTAAGATGATCTCTAAATCCAATGACCAGTGTCCTTAGAAGAGAAAGGAGAGGGACAGTTGACATACTCAGAGATGCAGAGAAGAGGGCCACGAGAAAACAGAGGCAGAGATTTGAGCAATGTAACTACAGTCAAGGAATGCCAAGGGTTGCTGTAAGCCACTACAGTCTGGGAGACAAGCCTGGAAAGGAATTTTCCCTCCAATCCTCCAGAAAGAACCAACCCTGCTAATTTCAGACTTTTAGCTGCTGAAACTGTGATAAAAGTAACTTTCTGTCATAAGCCATCAAATTTATGTAGTTATTGTGCCATCCCTAGGAAATGAATACAGGCATTTCTAACTTCATGAGCATTTCAGACACAGAACATAATAAGATACACAAATGCACCCCATGACCGATAGTACTGGCAGTACTGCTGTTAAGATGAAGATGTGGCTAAACTGCAAAGCCAATACAAGCAGAAAATATGTGCTGTGAAGGTTTCAAAAAATGGCTTTTGGCCTCAATGGAATTGAGCATTTCACCTTTAGATAAGATAGGATGGGGCATACTTCTCTTCCTCCATGAATAAAATACAGTGTGCCTTCTGATTTTGTTTATGAAGGAAAAGAACCAGCTACCTAGAATGTTGTATAAAGCACTCCAGGAAGGCATCTCTGTATAGAAAAAGGTCTGACGGAAATTAGATAAGAAAAATTATAGTATTTTTTTAAGTGTCTTGCAATTGGCAATAAGATTCTTCTAGCAAACAGAGGATATCAGAATGAATTCGATTGTTTTTTAGCTGCTGAAGCCCTCATAGGGCAACTCATGTCATTTTTTTTTTTTTAATATTAAGGACAAACTGTCTCTGGAAAACAACTATACTTCTCTCTTTTTAAAGATCCTGAGAAAAGTGAAAAATAAAACCCAGAATTTTAGTATGTGTGCTGTGACTTCCTTGTCATTTGTTTATATTGATGCTGGAGTAACCTTTATATTTCTATATTTATAGAGAGAGATATTATAAAATAATTGACTCACATGATTGCGAAGGCCAGAAAGCCCCAAGGTCAGCAGCTGGCGAGCAGGAGACGAAGAGCTCGATGGTGTAGTTGCAGCCTGAATCCAAAAGCCCGAGAAGCCGAAAAGTTGATGGTATAAATTGCAGCCTGAGTTTTAAGGCCCAAGAACCAGGAGAGCCAGCGTTCCAAGTTTTAGTCCAAGTCCAGGTCCTCCAGGGGCAGGAAAAGACCCATGTCCAGCTCACGGAAGGGCAGAGAGGGAGTGAAGTCTCTTACTCAGCTTTTTTGTTCTCTTCAGGCCTTCAGGGGATCAGAGGAGGCCCACCCACACTGGGGAGGGCTATCTGTTTAACTCAGTCTACCTATTCAAATGTTAATCTCATCCTGAAACACCCTCACAGACACACCCAGACAAATGTGTAACCAGGTATCTGGGCACCATGGCCCAGGTAAGGTGACACATGAATTAACCATCCCACATAGAGTCAGTACATCTTATGATATTTAGCTCTTCAACCATAAAACGATTTTGAGTCTAAACTCTTGAATACACAATTTGGTAATACAGTGACCCTTAAACAATGCAGGGGTTTGGCGCCATACACAGTAGAAAATCCGATTCCCCAAAACTTAACCACATAGTTACCTGTCATTCTGTATCAGCTGGGGGTGGGGGTGATTGATTGATTCTAGGTTCCCCTGTGGATACCAAAATCTATGAATGCTCAAGTCTCCTATGTGAAATGGTGGGGCGCCCGACCTTTTGGTGTCTCTAGGCCACACTGGGAGAAGAAGAGTTGTCTTGGGCTGCGCAATAAATACACGAACACTGACGAAAACTGATGAGGAAAAAAAACAGTTTTATGTAAATTTAGGATTTTGTGGTGGGCCTTCACTCATCCTGGGCTACAGGTTGGACGCCCCTGGATGGATGCACACAGTCAGCCCTCTGCATTTGTGCAGTCCCAACCTCAGATCAAAAACAGTACAAGCATTTACTGAAAAAGCAGTTGCGTATAAGTGGACGCATGTTGTTCAAGGGTCAACTATACTATTTTAGGAATTGTTTCATAATGTGTCTGAGGCTATAGTAAAAATGTTTTTTATAAACAGAAAAAGGAATTGGGGAAGTTTTCAACTTTGTTCATAGAAAAGCATGCCCACTTAGCCCCACCCCTGGATCATTTTGTAACAAATCCTCAGTATGTACCTAAAAGGAATGACTGCATGTAACCATAGGAAGTCTCATACAAAAATGTCTGTAGTAGCTGAAAACTGGAAATAATCTCATGTTCATTAATGGAGGAATAGATAGATAAATTGTGGTGCATTCATAAAATGCAGTGAAATACTACTCAATATTCACAAAAAGTGAGACATCTGGTTGCCTTACCTTTATTTATTAGTGTATATTGAATAATCATTCTTTAATTTGGCTGTATAAATACATTTCTAAATTTGACCACCAGAGGTCAGTATAGGATTAAATGTGATTGTCTTCTTTAAAAAATGTAATTTTTTTTTAAATTTAGGGTTCTTTTTTCCCCCTCTTTGCATTCTCCTCTAAAATGACTATACTTTGCCATCTATGGATTTTTTTAAATCTTAAATAGGAAAGAAAATTACTGTTTACCTTGTGTTTCTTAGGTACCAATTGAATTCTCAGTGTGATGTTTGCTTTTCAGTTATTGGTTTTTCATTACCTTTTTTATTGTTTGGACCTCATCATTTAATTTTCTAAAAGTTGAACACATCACAAAATAAATCTGTTTTTGGAGTTATTTAAACTTAGAATATTAAATGCCTTATTCTAAGGACATAGAAGAATTCTCACAGCCAGCACTACCAACATCAGTGAATGTTACTGAATAAATACTAAGCTAGAAGCCACATGTTTCTCTCAGGCAGTGACAGAGACATCATTACTAAATCATTAGGCTGAATGCCTTAGGTTTCTCTAAGATGCTCTAATAATTCTTCGACTTCATTAGACATTTTAGGTCACAGAGACCTAGAACTATTTGCCCTGTTATTTTTGAAGAACTTTTTGCAACCAAGAGGCTAAAATGTTTCTCAATAAGCTATTAAGTAATCATTTGCAGGACTTGGATGGATTCTGAATGTGGATTCTTACGGGTTTTGCCATCCCTGGTAGACCGGGCTGAGAAAGGTGGGCCCTTGGTTCTGTTTCCTAAGGTAAATGTTTGGCATAAAGTGGGGTAGCCAATGAGCCTGATTCAGCTCCGAAACACCTAGTGGAAAATCACCACGAGACATTCCATGGAGCTAGGAAAACTGGACCTGTCCAAAATGCTCAAATTGTAAGCTGAGACATTGTCTAAAATCTTCCTTTCTCTTTCTTTACACAACAAAAGTCCTCTGGAACTGTCTCTTCACTTGTACCATCTTGTGATGCTTCCTATTGAGGACCTCAGATCTGAAATTCAAGATCACATATGCATGTTGTCTTGATAATAAGAACATCAGCTTTATTATGGGAATGTACTATATTTCTTAAACATGTGGGAAGAAAATGTATATAAAACTAAATCTCACAAAATGTTCTAATAAATTTTTGTACATTTTATTTTGGGGGAAGATTGAAGGTGCCTTGGTGTTCGACACTTTTATACAGAGGGGATTTTTTTTCAGCCTCCCTCTACACACTGTACCATTTTATATAAATATGCATGTCTTTTCTGTGGTTGTTGGCAAAAATTCTAAAGCCTAATCACTGCTTCACTTCAATGCTTTGTAGAATGGATTTCTCCTCCTAAAAAAGATGTTTCAAGATCATAAATCAAAGGAAGAAAACATAACTTTCCTCAGCTTTTTTGGGACTTGCCTGGATTCTGCAGCCCCAGCTGTATGACTGACTGACTATTCACTGAAGTAAACTCAGAAAATCCTCTGAGCAATTCAGCAAGGCCAAAATGGTTCATTCTGATGCAGTTTACGTGTTCAAAAGACAGAGTAGCAAATTATATAACAGTTCTGTGGCTCATTCATTCTCTTGTTCTTTCCCAATCTTAATTTCTCTCTGTCTTACACATACACGCACACACACAAGGTCTTGGGGATTTCTGGTATTTGTTACTAAAAGAAAATGCTGTCAATATCTTTACACATAATTTTATGAACTTATATGTATATGTTTCCCAGGCATATCCATAGTAAAATTATCATATCATGAGATAGATAAACATTTTAAATTTTGAAAGATACTTCCATAATGCTCTGCAAAAAGTTGTAACTAAATTTTAACCTGCTATCAAATTTTCCATACACTTCCCAAAATGATTTTTATCAGTTTCTTAATTATTTCCTAATGTGATGTGATTAAAATGATGTCTAAGCATCTAAGTGCATCTAAATTTGCATTAATTTTTGGGCAGAATTGATAGATTATTTCTATATATATTGACTCCTTGTACTGCCTTTTTTGTGACCTTCTTGTTCACTCTTCACAATTTTTCTAGGAATTTTGAAATTTAAAATTATAAATTATAAGATTCCTTTGGATATTAAAGGAATTAAGCCTTTTGCCTGTGTGTAATTACTGGTAAATATTTTTCCTGGTTTATTTTTCATTTTGATTTTATTGATGGTTACCATACATTTAATTCTTATACTATACTAGGTATTAAACACTCCATTTTAATAGATTTTGGTCACATTCTTGAGATAATTATTTTTTTATGATTTTTTTTCTAACACTTTTGTTTTTATATTTTATATTTAAATTTTTAATCCACATGGAGTCAATTTTAGAGTAAGGGATGAAGACTTAGCTACCTTATTGTTCCAAACATCTCATAAGTTATTTCAGCACCATTTGTTGAATAATTCTGCTTTTCCTCAGTGTTCTGAAATGTTTTTAATGTATGACAAATTTCAATAGGTACTTAATCTCTGAATCATGTAATTATATTTTTGTGCTAGGACCATAGAGTTGTAATTACTATGTCATATATCATAAAATTGTTTGGCTTGTTCACTATTATTACTCTTCTACTTTAGGTTATTCAAAGCTATTCTTATGTTTGCATTTCAGGATGACTTTAGAATAAATCTATCAAGTTCCAAGCAAATAAACAACAACGACAACAACACATCTGTTAGTATTTTCATTGGACAGCATCTGAATTTGTACATTTAATTCAGGGGCATTGATATCTTTCAAATATTGAATTTCCTATTCAATAACTTTGCACATGGTTTTAGTAGTTTGGTCATGCTGCTGTGTGGTTTTCTATTTTATTGTTATTTTAAAATATCAGTTCTTGGTTTTATTTATCAATTTTCTTATTTATCTTTAACATTTGTTTCAATCAATTTAATCCTCTTAATTTTAAATCTAATTTAAGTGCTTAATAAATATTTTACTCTGTCTTTTAGTAGGTATAAGTGATTAGGCCTATTAATTTTTCTATGAATACAGTTTTATATCAGTCACATAAGTTTTGATATCTAGAATTTTTATTTTCATTATCTAGATATTTGGTAGTGTCAGTTTAAATATCATATTTTACACAAAAATAATTTAAGATACATTTTAAAATTTCCAGGTGTTTAAATTTTTAAAATCTTATTTTTATAATTTCTGTTTTTCATATAATTAATGTACTCTGTCTTCTTTTTATTTATTGAAACAGTTTTGTGCATAAGGATAGGAAGCTTGAAAATAAGATGTCGTAGCTGTTCTCGAGCCTTTAAATTCAGCATAATTGTCCTTCATAGCTGCAAACGTTCGCCAAGATTTTAAAATATCACTAAAAGTCCATAGGCTGCACACTGGGTACCACACTGTAGCCCATGAAAAGTAACTGGACGCTTCGAAACGCAAGAAAGAGATGGTCAGAATTGCCTGGTAGAGCAAGACCCTGGCCGAGGGGAGCAGGAGGAAGGTGGAATCATTCTTTATTTGCAGGGTCCTGCAAGAGGGGAGGAAAAAGGTGCAATGCTCAGAGTTCATTGATTGGGTGGGAATGGTGAAAGAAAGGAGGGACTGTAGGCTAAATACAGGAATGACTGATGAATGACAGTGACATTAACAAATGGGGAGAAATTAAGAATGGAAGGTGGTAAATCCATTTTGGCCACACTGACTTAGGCCGGCGTAAGTAAGAAGACAGCACGCAGTTAGGTAAACACTTCTAAAGTTGGAGGAGGCCTGAAGCTTAAGAGACACAAAGGAAGCGTATATAGCGAGTGAAAGAGAAGTATAACCGCATGAATTGTGGGAAATAGCAAGGTTTAGAGGGCAGAGGGGGAAAAGAATGTGCAAACGAGATAGAGGAGGAATAGAGGCATCAAGGAAAACCAGGGAAGTTTGGGACCGTGGAGTTTATGTGGAAGAAAGAATTTGAAGTAGAAAGGAATGTGGTCCATGCAGACTCCTGCATTACAGTGGGCTGCCTCTATGAAGGAAGAAGGTGAGGCTGACAGAGCGAGAAGCAACTTTGGGGATAATCTGGTCTAGTCTGAACCTCTCATTCTGCAGTTAGGAAATTGAAGTTCAAAGAGATTTGGTGTCCAACTCGTAATTAACTCTTATTAGCAGAGCTGGGGTTAGAGCCAAATGTCCTAGTAGCAAGACCAGGACTCGCAAAACTGCTATTGAAGGCTAATACCTAAAACTACCTGAGGCCGTTACTACAGTCACTGTAAATGTACACCTTTCATAGCTTTGACAGATGTTACGGAAATTAAATATTTTCATTTAAAAAGTTTGAGTGTCACAAATTTCAGAAAGTAGAAACATTTCAAGGTCTTCCTTTTGATACGGTGTTCGTGGCCTGTTTTTAAGGGAAGGATAGTTTTGTTTTTAATCCAGAGTAGAATTAAAAGAAATAATATTGCAGAGTGAAGATTGCATGTGAAAGAACCCTCCGGTGGACTGGAACAGATGCCTGGCCTGTGAACACAGCCAACACCGTGGCGAAGGCCGCAGCGTGGGGAGGCGGAGGGGGCCAGGGGCGGGCTGCGGGGCGGCACCGGGAGGAAGTGGGGGCCCCTGTAACAGTGGCAGCAGTAAAAAATAAAATAAAATAAGAAAGAAAGTCAGCTCTTGTTCCACAGATCCTGAAGATTATGAAACACAATCTACAAAAAGTAGCAATCTGGTATTTACAGGAAAAAGGAACCTAAGCAAGGTAGCATAAAGTATATTTTGCTTTCAGGTTTTACTGGGGCAGCGGAAGCAGCAGGAGAAGGGGGTCGGATTTCCCTGTTTTGGCCGCGGCGGTGGTGGGGGCGGGGGGGGGGGCGGGGTTTCCCAGGGGAAGAAGGGCTCTTGTTGATAATCAATGTAGTGTTTACTTTGAGTAGTAGTAATAGCAAACATAAGTATTTTGTTGAAATCTTTTATATTTATCATATAACCCAGATTTCTTTACTATTATATTTTAAGATAACTTTTCAATGATAAACCACTTTATAATCTAGACTTATATAGCCATTGTACAAATTATTTCCATTCTCCTGGGGGTTTTTTAGGTTTATTTTTTTTAAATAGTTTTAATTTAATCAAGGAGGAGAAAGATGTCAAAACACTGTACTAATTTAGACATGGATTTAATTAGGTTTCATAAATATATTAGAGATACCTAATTTATTTCCATATGTTACAATTTTCAAGGTCTAAGACAATGTTCAGCTTTTAGAGGAATCTGTGTGCACAGCAAACTCTACAACCGTAGCCACACAGAAAAAAAAAAAAGGCAATGGCTTTAAAAATTGATTAAAATATAAAAATGAAACCAGATATCACAAATAATACTTCTTTTATTTTCACAATGTTACTGCATTCTTGGCATAAAATGAAATAAAATCCCAAACATAAATGGTCAACCACATTGACCTAGAGATTAATGTTGCTCCTGAACACTTCTCTGCATTAGATAGAAAGCACAAGTGTTGCCTACTCACTCTATGGAAGGCACTGTATCAGCTATTACAAGACACAGCTACACCTTGTACCTACAAGAGAAGCAACAGTGTGTCTCAGGAGCTAAGTGGTCATCTGAGCCAAGCAGCATCTCACTGCTGCCCTGATACTTGTTATGTACCAGGTCAAATCACTTTTTCGCTTACTCATTTCATTACCTTTAAAAAGAAAAAAGAAAGTAGTAGTACATTACTACACCAAGTGCCCCAAATACAACTCCCGAGAATTTCCTGAGAAAGGTACAAGTTTTCCTAGAATTGGTCCGCTAATAGAATTCTCCTAACATAGTATTATGAAAGGTATTTTCCTTATGGATCATTAAAAAGATGCCTTGGAAGGATTAGGGATTTATGTGTTTGAAACTTGGGGGAAGTTTTTCTTTCCAAAGATGACACTTCATTGATACTTATGAAAACAAGGACAAGATAAATTTGGCCAAACTGGGGTAATGTCTTAAGTTTGAAACCATCTATTAAATTTCGTTAAGAATTGAGCAATTTGTTTCACTTGAGATATAAAGTCAAATATCTAAGCTAAAGTCCATTCAGTTACATTTTTGTAATGCAATGAATTGGAATAAACAATAGCAATTAATTATCAGCGTGATTTCCTAAGATGATAAAAGTACAACAATTTTTGAGAAAAATTTTAATTTCTCTGAAACAAGTTTAAGTAGTACCAGAAAATAGAAAGTATTGCTAATCTCAACAGTCTTATCAGGAAATAGTATAGTTAAGTCCTGTACCTAAGTCATTGTTTACCTGGCCCTCTGGTTGCAAAAAAAATTAAAGTCTCTTGCAATATTGTCAAAAAGTTTATTTGAATGTCACACTAAACTTGAAGTTGTTAATTACTGTATATAACTGCCATTTTTAATTGGCAAAACAAAACTTATTAGCAGTTAGCAGCAAACATCCAACCCCACAGTCCTTAGAGCTACTATTTCCCCTAACCCTTTCAAATGCTTAAGAAATTACATTATCTAGCGTATCCTCTTTCATCTATATCCCATCCCAACCTACCACAGGTAAAAGTCTTTGAAAATCTTACTGATACAGCATGCTAGGGACTGTCAATATTTCACCCACCACCAATAATGGGATCCTTTTTGGAATCCGGTCAAGAGTAAGTGAGTCCCACCCTGATATTCTGTCATAGGTCCACTTCTGGCACCAACTGTCCTAGACATGGTTCTCTAGAAGCAGAGCTTGATAAGAGGATCCTTGTTCGAGGTTTACTGACTGAGTATTCTCAAGCGGAGAGGAGAAGAATAAGGGGAGGGCAGATGGAAAAAAGCTAAGACAAAACATAGTTTCAGCCTGATTTCACAGGAAATCTCTAGAGCACACATTACCCTATAGAGCTGGTCACCCTTGAGGGAGGAAGACTGGCCTTCTCTTCTCTCTTGTCATTCAGACATTAGCCGAGAACTGCCCCAGAGCATGATGCATAGCTCTCCAGTCTAGGTGGCCTAGAAGCCACCATCTTGGGGCATGACTTTAGAGAAAAGGGAAAGCTATGAGCTGTTAGTAGCCAGCAGCTGGGGAATGGATATGTTAGTCCAATAAAGAGGCTCTGGTAAAGTACAGCATAGGAAATAGAATCAATAATATTATAATAATTACGTATCATGCCAGTTGGGTACTGGAAATATCAGAGGGAACATTTTGTAAAGTATATGACTGTCTAACCACGATGCTGTACTCCTGAAACTAATACAAAATAACATTGAATGTAAACTGTAACTGAAATAGTTCTAAAAATTAGAAAAAAATTCTGGGGATCTTTGCATGGGAAACTGGGAACATTCTCTTATATTCAAATTACCTCATATTTGGTGGGTCGCATCAATACTAAATTTATTCTGCTTTTAAAAACAGGCATGTAAAATATTTTAGAGTAACTGAGGAGCAGGATCTCAGCGAAAGGACGGGCTTACTCTCAACCTTGTGTGAACTGAAAAGTGCACCAAACCAGGAGGTTTGGCTCCTTCTCCTGGGCTTAGGTAACGCTGGCTATCTTACTCTTCTGAAGCAACCCACATCAGAAGACATCAGCTACGTCACACCTACACAGGGTTTTAACATCAAAAGTGTACCATCCCAAGGTTTTAACCTGAATGCATGGGACATTGGTGGACAAAGGAAAATCAGACCACCCTGGAGGAATTATTTTGAAAACACTGGTATTCTTATATATGTCACTGACAGCACAGACAGAAAAGAATTTGAAGATATGGGTCAGGAACTAGCCGAATTATTGGAGGAAGAAAAGCTAGGTTGTGTTCCAGTGCTCATGCATCTTTGCTCATAAGCTGCCCCCACCTCTGAAATTGCCAGGACTGAACCTGCACACCCACCGTGGGAGCGCCTGGTGGATCCAGCCCTGCTCAGCTCTCCCAGGAGACAGGGCTCAGGATGGCAGGAACCAGGTCATTGCACAAAACAAACAAAATCTAGACCGATGGAGGCACAGGAGCTTCAGGAGCTGAATTCTGTCCTGAAAAAACACTAATTTGCTGCTCTCTGACCAAATGTTTTCCCAGCTGTGTACAGCCACAGCTGTTTGAAGAGCAGCAATAACACATTTTAAAAAGAACCCTCATTCTAGCAGTAGATTTCACTGATCTCTGAGGTTCAGCATCATTTTTCAAATAAAGGAAACATACTATTTCTGCCAATTAAAAAGGTTGAAATCATGTTTTTTAAAAAAAGAAGACCTGGCCAAGGATCTGGATCTGGGTTATGCCGTGCAGCACACGTATGGCCTCACTTCAGAACCGGGTTGCTAAGAGTTGCTGCCTCTTCTACACTCAAGGAGTCACTTGCTTCAGAGCTATGTTTTCACTGCTATCATCTGTCACCACACACAAGAAGGCACCACAAGCAGAAAATCCCTGTAATCCTGCTACTACTGTTTTCTCAACATCCAAATCAAGTGTTCCAATTCGCATCCAAAACACAGATGCTCTCCACACCACTTCTCAATATGGACAGAAAGGCAGCTCCTGGTCCCTGGGGTCTCTGCTAAGACTTCAGGGAGAGGAAGAATGCCCAGCACTCTTGCTTGCCAGTGGAAGCAGCAAAAACAACAAGTCCAGATCCCATGGGCGTGCACCTGATTGACTGAGCCTAAATCACTGCTGGGATCTAACTGTAAGGAGCCTAAGAAATACACCATCATGGTTCTTCAGCTGCTTCATTCTGGGAGGCACACCAAAAGGAGTGAGCAATAGACGGTCAGCATCAGCCCACCAGATCCATCTCTGTCCGCTCTTGGTATTCAGAATCTACCTCTCAGTGCTTCAACTTCCAAATAAGAATGTCAGTACCAAAAACAGGCTGATACCTAAAATAATCCAGTTTAACCCTAGGAAACGTTTTGATTTTGCCTTCATTCTCAAGTCATTGTTTGGCTATATAGAATCCTAGGTTGACAATGATTTACATTAGAACATTGAAACTATTATTTCACTGTTTTGTGGCCTTGATTGCAGCTGCCAAGAAATCTGTAGCCAGTCTAATCATCCCTCCTTTATAACTTCTCTGGCGTTTCTCTCTGATGAGCTAAGTTTTTCTCTTCTTATTTGATATCCTGCAATTTTGCTGTGGTTTTTCTGGGTGTAATTTATTTTTCTCTTTCTTGAGGGATCTTGGTGTGCTCCTTCAACCTAAGAACTGCCTGCAATTCTAGAAAGTTCTGACCCTTTTTTTTTAATACTACCTTTTGCCCTATTGTCTTACTCCTTTTTTTCCCTAGAATTTTATCAACATATGTTGAGAGAGTTTTAAATTTATCCTTTAGAGATCTTAGCATCTTTTTTATATTTTTCATATCTTTATCTCCTGTTCAATTTTATTGCTTTTTCATCAAACTTTCAAATCACTGTTTTTCAATTCAATGATTTCATTGTGTACTCTTTTAGTTGCATTTTTAAAACCTCAGTTTCTACACATTTTATTATTATTAAATACTCTTTTTTGGTTAGTTCTCGAAGTTGCCTCTTCCTTTTTATACAATATGAATGCAAACTCTCCTATGTGTTGCATTCTCTTACTCTTGTTCAGTTCACTTGTTTCTGCTCATCAGTCATTTTTAGCTCTGTATGGGGGAGAAGTTTATTTTCCAAGGGAATCCAATGTCCTCTGGGTTGTCAGACAATCCTACAGAGAAATTTTGAGTTTTTGTCTTCCAAGAGCCCAGTGGCTTCACAAATCTAGCACCAAGTGGGTGTGAATTTTTGTCTTGGTGCCCTGAGTCCATGGGGGCATCCAGCTCCAGCCTCCCAGACACGGAGTCCTTGTCAGGCCTTCATGTCGCATCCAATTCACTGACCTGAGTTTATATTAATGTACCTGATGGTTCCACTTTCTTTGGAGCTCAGGTACATGCTTTAGGGTTTGGGGGGTTGTTATAGTTGTAGCGTTTATATATTGAAACTCAAAAAGGATTCCCCATGTCTGCTTAGGCTGTCAGAGCAATCAAGACTGTTATGTCAACGACGCCGGCCTCCTATTGACATACTGAGGAAGAAGGAAAAGGCAGTGTCAGCATCCCTCTGGGACTTGACAAACCAGAATTGTTAGTAGTAAGACTGTTTCTTTAGGTGATTTAATTTGTCAGTTCATAGATAGGAGATGGATGCTCCATGGAGAAATAGGAGAAAGATCACCCTTACACCTTATTTCTTCTGAGTACACTCTCAGTTGTTACTGGAAAAATCTCATATTGGAAGAAGAATAAAATACCTGTCTACATCAAACACATTTGCAAGTAGAAGGCAGATGTCATCCTATCTTGTGGTCAGAAAAAGTATTTCTTTTCATTACATAACCAAGGTCTTCGATAAACAAAAAGTTAATGAGTATAAGGCCAGTTGTTGAAATTCCTAATAGTGTGAAAATATATTTGTCACCTTGTCCTGCTTCAAAACTTCACCTTATAGCCTCCCTTCCTCGCTCCACAGTCAACATAAAAGTGACCTCATGCAAAAGTGCTTCATGAAGAGCCTTGTCCGCCCAGCCCCAAAATGACAACTGAGCAAGATGAAGCAGGCAGCCACATTGTACAACGAATAAGGCAGCTCTTTGCAGAAGCCACTGGCCTGCCTCACGCACTGTACTCTGACTCTCCCTGGCATTCTCCAAGCTGCGCAGGGCCTTCTCTGTGGTGCAGAAAACTAAGCACAGGGACCCAACGGAGCTCTTCTTCCACATGACATCAAATGGGCATTTCTAGTTCCCCTTTAAAAAGAGGGAAGAGTCAATAAGTTTGAACCTTCATGGACCCAAAAGTCCCTTCCAGCAGTCAGTCATATATGTGCAGCAAGTTACATATTAAGATTTTTCTCCGTCATTTTCTGTTCTAATTTGATGTTGATACTGTTGCTTTCATTTGTAGAAGTTAGCTCACTCTCTCTCTTTCAGTCTTCTAAAAATACAATGCTAGGATCAAGTAAAACAGTAAGAGTAAAAGAGAGAACTGAAGATTACTCTTCCAAAATTATTTTCTTTGTTTTGATTTCAGTAAGTTACAGGCCAATGCAGATGTGCTGACATTCCAGAAAAATGTTAGCAAATGTAGTTTAGCTTCTTTTACATAATGTTAAGGAAACCACTGCTAACACATGCCTTTGTAATGGAAATGCGACATTGTTTTGTTGGTGTTCCTTTTAATATCAATCATTACAGAAAGAATGGAGTAATTTGTCAGAGGAAATACTTTGTCATAATTTGTCCTAAAAATTCCTGGACAGGAATTTTTAACAAAATAGCATCCTGTATTTTAAGATTAAGTTTTGAAATCACTCCTTTCACTATTCTGGGAATAACACACTAGAACTTGAAAATAGGCCATTGGCAGGTGCTTTAGAGTGAAAATACGTGTTCTCTTTGAAAAAACTGAATTTGAATATATGTCTCAACCAAGGTATGACGCTGTTTATTATTTTGGAGATTTTGTCCCCTAAGTGGATTTAACTGTCTTGTGATTCTACACTTAATTTTTATCTTCTTGAAATGTGTGTATGTGATTGGCCAAGAAATTCACAATAGATCAATCAGAGCTGAATCTCCTACCTGGTTATTGATTCAGGCTGGATGGTAAACATCAAGAAAGCCCTGGATTGCGTTTGGTTGCACTTGGCATGCTGACTCTGCGACGGTTCTAGACAGATGTACAAAGACTTTCACACGCCAAACATTTTTCTGGGTTCTGGGGTCAGTGTCATGGTCTCACACTTGGTCTCATGCAGCCTCCCTGCCAGTGAGAGAGACAGAAGATCAGCACGTAAATGAAGGCACGCACACATCATACCCAGGAATATCAAATAGCTCTAAGATCAATGAAGAAGATCAGACAGGTACTGTAATGGTGAAAAGATGGGTGGAAGTGAGGGGCTGTTTAAATTGGATATTCTGGGAAAGACTTTCTGAAGAGGTTCTGTTTTTCTGAGGTCTGACTACCAAGAAGCAGGTCATGAGAAAATCGGGGAGGAGTACTCCACGCCGAGAAGCCGAGAGCGTGGGCCCTGAGGCAGAAGCCAGCTCGGAAAAGCGAGCGAGAGCAAGAAGGCCGTGTGAGTGAAGTCCGGGAGTGAGGGAGAAAGGGGTTGCGCATGGAGTCTGGACAGGCAGGCTACAGAATCACGCAGGGCTTGTACATGTCAGGAAGCACTGTGAACTTGATTTTAAATGTGTCAGAAGGTCACTTGGGGGTTTTAAGTGAAGGTTTCCTTGATTGTATTTATATGATCCCAATACAAATTAGAAACAACTATAATCTTTTCACTTTTTATCTTCTTCGTAGCATTTGCCATAACGTGTTTATTTATTTGGGGGCCTGTGTTTTTCTTTTTCTCACATCTCTCTGCCTTCTCCCTGTATGCTCCAAAAGAGTATGAAATGGACTATTTTGTTTCCTGCTGAATATCCAGAAGCTACTGAAAGTCGAGCACATACATCATGGGTGCTCAATATATGTGTGTGCTGGTAAATAAATGACTGAATTAAATGCTGATTTTCAGTTCTTTTTAAGGTCACAGGATACTAAATGATCCTCTCTATGTAATGACTATTAAGGTAGTTGCACCAGCTGATTCAAGGCACATTTTTATGTCCTTTTCAATATTTGAAATCGGTGTACTTGTTTCTAATAAGACATAGAGAACCCAAAGAATAAAAAAATATATATTTCTAACACAGAGAGAAAATAAAGCTGTACCAGAAACTCCACAGGTAGGATTTTAATAGCTTTTGTTTTATGTGGTAGGAGCACTATAATGGTTTTGGTCATAAGTTGCAGTTCAGTGGATTGAATAGACTGAAACTACATTAGGAAAGAAAAGAACTGAGAGGATTTTATGACCATTTCCTTCGAGTGATTCTGCCCTGAATAGACCCATTACAGTCTAAACTTTAGAGACAATAAAACCTACAGTACTTTTGTGCAAGGAGAGACTTTTTCTGCTCTGAAGGTATTTAGAATCATTTC